TGTGGTGTAGTTTAAACGGAATGAATTTGAATCCTGAAAAATGTCATGTTGTTCGATTCAGCAGGAAAAAACGCTCGCCAACCAGAGTCTATCATATTAATCAGGCATTTCTTAAGGAAGTCAGCCATACTCGGGATTTAGGTGTGATTCTGGATGGTAAATTGCGTTTTAACTTGCATGTTGATGATATTACAAATAGGGCTTTTAGGATGTTGGGCTTCGTCCTGCGTAATTGTAAGGAATTTAGGAATCCCAGCACTAATGTTACAATTTACACATGTCTCGTACGTAGTATTCTCGAATATTGCAGTCCTGTGTGGAATCCGCATTACGGTATCTATATCAAGCGCTTGGAGAATGTACAGAAGCTATTTTTATGGCACCTATCCTATGGTTGCAACATGGCTAGGAAACTTCCTAGTTATAACGATCGTCTATTACATTTTCACCTTAAATCACTTCGTCATCGTAGAGAGCTGCTTGATATCATGTTTCTGTATAAACTTATAAATGGAATTTTGGATACCCCTGATATCTTGTCCAGAGTAAACATTTCTGTTCCTAAAAAGCTGCAACGATTTGCAAAGCCTCCTTTCAGAATTAAGTTTGCAAAATCAAATCTGGGTCAGAATGCTCCATTAAATAGATCTTTAAGGAGTTATAATTTAATTCATAGCGTTGAAATTGATGGTGGTATTGGATCGCAATGGGGGGGTCGTGAATTCCCCCAAATAGATCTGTTTTCAAACTCCCCATCAATTTTCAAAAAGTTAGCGGCTCAGCTGATTACTCATTAAGACTATGGGGTTATTCAATTAATTCAATTAATTTTGTAATGTTTTTATTTTATTTTATTTTATCTTAACTTTATTTTTTCTTCTTTTAATGTGTTTATAAAACTTTAGAATGTTGTATGCGCCTATAATTGGGGTAGCACTTGGCTTGTGTTTGTGTTTGTGTTACATTGCTTGTATTAGTGTTTACTTTGTTGGTGCATAAATAAATAAATAAATAAATAAATAAATAAATAAATAAGGTTGACCTGATTTATTTATTTATTTTTTATTTTAGATTTCCCTTTCGCTTAAAAATCAGATATATTAAAGTGTGTTTAGAGTCCCTTTCGAAGGTTTTTCCTACAAGGACGTATCGCATGTAAACGAAATTATGGTTGTCATGAAAATACACTATTTCCCTATTGATAGTGTAATAAAGATATTGCACGTTCCACCAAATGATAGCGAATCGGATTAAGCTTCTACTTTATGATTGATTTAATAAGGGTTTATAAGTTATTTATGGTTTTATATCATATCTGATTACACCTGTATATTTACAATAAGATCATAAATTTTAATTATCTTTCGATATCGTCAATCAGCTGGTAAAAGGGCGCCATTTTTGTTTACTTTTCAATAATGGACGACCGTTAATAAATTGTCACACGAACATCCTATATTATCATGGTTTTATTATATTTATTTCCCACATCATTATTCGATCTTTACAGTTATTACTAATGCCATAGAACACAATAATACACAGATATTACCTATAGTTAGTTTTGGCGAACAAAATTTTCTAAATAAATAACTTCAAAGTGTTTTTTTTAATTGACTACTTATTATTTGACCTAAATTACATATTGTCCCGTTTTGAGTCAAAAATTAAATGGTCACTTTAGTTATAACCCACCATAGCCAGAACAAATAGGGTCGGGTAAGCGGATTCAGAGGATACACCATACAGTCTCTTGTTGAATGGTACTTAGGGATGTAACTTTAGCGCTCTTAATGGTTTTATATAATACATACTTTTCGAATCCTGCTTTGAAGTGAGCACAGAACGAAGTTTAATGAAATCTTTTAATCTTCAGTATATGTAATTAGAACAAGCAGTGTTGGCCCAGTAGCTTCGGTGACTCCTATCCCAGGGGTCAGCGGTCCTATTCCCAGTTGTGCACCAATAGACTTTCTGACTATGTGCGCATCTAACACTCGCTCGTACGGTGAAGGTAAACATCGTGAGGAAATCGGCCTCAAATCCAAAAATGGATGACATGTGTCTAACAAAATGCCTGTCTACGTACCTGTCTATGAAATAAAAATAATTAAAGAAACGGATGCAAACTGAGGCCAAGACCCATATAGAGTTGTAGCGCCACTGGATTATAATCGTGATTACACATAATTGGAATACCTAAACTGAAGTTGATGGTAAATAAATAGGACGCTACAACACAAACGTTTCTCTTCGTTTCAATCTTACATAGACTTCCTCGAAACCTGCGCAACAAAGATAGTTTTTATTACCTATTATAGCTGAAAAGCTACTTATTCTACAAGGATAGTGGCACTGCCTTAAAACGAACATAATATATAGCCTTACCTTTATGTATTCTAAAGGGGGCTGGCCTCCTTGTTAATTTTCAGCCTAGAATTTAAAAACGGATCAAACCATATTCGGATCGGTCTACCAGGTCTCCTCTCTATTTACTCAAATATTTTTCAAACGCAAACGCTTTTCCTCTGATATGAGTGTAATAAAAGAGTCCTTCTGAAATTTAAATTTATGAAAAACACAAAACAAATCGATCGCATTTTGTTATAACAATCAATAATGGGTTTAACAGAAATAACAAGAATTTGAAATAAAGCAGTATGAAAAACGACACAATTCATGATGACGGTATTCTATGATACCTCAGAACGGGTCGTTTAATTCCCTCAAATATGGTTGAGTAAAACGATGGCTGACTCACACGTCATGCCTGTGAACAGGTGCCGCTTCCGGAGACTGCATTTTGTATGATGATTTGATATTTTTAAAGAGTACCGAGAGATTTTTACGCCGACTTTTTCTATCGGCCTACACCCTCTGTCTTCATTGCCGATGAGTAGGGATGTCTTCCTGTGATACTTGTATCTTATAGTCAATAATAAAAATATTTTATTTAATTTTTTAATTTATCCATTTGAATGAGATTTCAGTTCGTCCTAGTATAAGTAATAAATATGGTAAGTAGCCTAAGTTAACGAACTATTACAATTCAAATTAACATTTACGTTCATAGGAATTTACAGATAGTTCAAGGAAATGAATTTGACTTTACCATTGAACCCTCAGTAAAAAACATTGACATCAAATTTGCGTCATAATTTCGTTCAGGCGTTAAACTATGCCTAGTCAAAAGCATACTTAATTCCACGGCTGCTATACATGCAAACTCACCTTATACGTATTCATAAGTATATAACATTGTTGACTAATATTATACATTATGTTAGGGGTTATATAATGCATGTTTGCAATGTTTTGGGACAGCAACAAAAGAATGCGTTCATCCCGCAGACAATACTATATATTATTCGTTTTACAGTAAAGTATAAAAGAAATTTACCATAGATTCAGTCAAAGGCTAAATATATAAATATTTATATAAATATAAAATATGATCTTGCACTTATGCTGCACTTATTTAGTCAGCTAATTGGGCATTTCGCAATGAGATTCACCGCTATTATAGTTAGTTAATTTACCATTGGGCAGTGTTGCCCTAGTGGCTTTAGCGTACGACTCTCATCCCTGATGTCGTAGGTTCGATCCCTGGCTGTGCACCAATGGACTTTCTTTCTATGCCCGCATTTAACAATCGCTCGAACGGTGAAGGAAAACATCGTGAGGAAACCGGCTTGCCTTAGACCCAAAAAAAGCCGACGGCTTGCGCCAGGCACAGGAGGCTGATCACCTACTTTTAGATTAACAAATTATCATGAAAAAGATACAGAAATCTGAGGCCCAGACCTAAAAAGGTTGTAGCGCCACTGATTTTAATTTACCATTGGAGTCTGTTTAATGAACAACTCTGAGTATGGCTAATTTGCTTTCGTACCTAATCTTTTTCAATAATTGATTAGCCTTCTGTTGTCATTGATATCTTCAAAAAGGTTTTATTTTATGCCTAAGCCTAATCGCCTTATCTAAGCGGCGTGCCTTTTAATTAGAAGGCTGTTTATCATGATTAGAACAGCAATAAATTATTGAAACGTGTAATAAGAATCAATTTGGTGAAATAAATTATGCATTTTTTAAAGTAGACGAGGTCATATTAATAGCGATTAAGTTAAAAACTATGCATATCTGCGTATCTTTTAATAAAAAGGAGCAAATCTGCAATATTCAAACTTAGATTACAAAACTAAAATATGTGTTAATTACAAATATTATTTTTAACGCTTTTATCTTATTTTATTAATTACTCTAAATGTTGGAAAAAAAACTTTAGAAAGCATCGTTCTATTTCGAGATCCTGTGTACTTCTGGACGTGTTCTACTTGCCTAGTATAAAATATGGGAGATATGTCCACCATATCCGGAATATCAGGAATCTACTAAGCCTTCTTCTTCTACTTAACTAAAATTCGGCTTTGTGAAAAATAATATTTAAAATATTATTATTTCGATATGATTTTCTAAAAAATATATAAAACCTTTAACATAAACAGTTCAATTGTATACGGTTAACTTATAAACTTGATCTTGGAGTTTTTAGCTACTAGGTATCTAAAAGTGTCTCCCTTACGAATCTAAATATTCGCATAAAAGTTCAAATATATTCAATATATCAAAGCATATCTATTAATTATCATCGTGGAATTATACGTTGGCGATATTTGTTGAAAAGAAAAAAATTCGCTGATAAGCTTGATAATGAAATACTATAAAATCTAACAAAATTTGCACAAATATTATAGTTTAGAAGATACTGCATAGGTAAGCAGTTTAGTTTAGTCAACGCCTTGGAGCTACAAAGGATCTTTTCGATTCGGAAAGCACTAAAGGCCTGTCTTGTCTACCCAGTTATTAGACAAATTCTAAACAGTCACAATCTTATTCACTAAACATTTCTTTTTTGTAAAATAATTTGTAAATCACATTTTAATTAAATGTACTCGCTTAAACCAAAGACAATTTTATAAAGATGTTTCTTATTTTCAGCTATGAAATTCCTACTATTCGCTGCACTCGTTGCCATTGCGGCCGCTCGCCCTTCAAAGAGTGGCACGCTCTTCCCTGAGTCCGCAGGACCCATAATTCAAGAACCAGAAAATATCAACACCAACCCAGCTCTGGTTGACGAAACCGAGACCATCAACACCAACCCAGCCCTCGTTGACGAAACCGAGAACATCAACACCGACCCAGCCCTCGTTGACGAAACCGAGAACATCAACACCGACCCAGCCCTCGTTGACGAAACCGAGAACATCAACACCGACCCAGCCCTTGTTGACGAAACCGAGAACATCAACACCGACCCAGCCCTTGTTGACGAAACCGAGAACATCAACACCGACCCAGCCCTTGTTGACGAAACCGAGAACATCAACACCGACCCAGCCCTTGTTGACGAAACCGAGAACATCAACACCGACCCAGCCCTTGTTGACGAAACCGAGAACATCAACACCGACCCAGCCCTTGTTGACGAAACCGAGAACATCAACACCGACCCAGCCCTTGTTGACGAAACCGAGAACATCAACACCGACCCAGCCCTCGTTGACGAAACCGAGAACATCAACACCGACCCAGCCCTCGTTGACGAAACCGAGAACATCAACACCGACCCAGCCCTCGTTGACGAAACCGAGAACATCAACACCGACCCAGCCCTTGTTGACGAAACCGAGAACATCAACACCGACCCAGCCCTTGTTGACGAAACCGAGAACATCAACACCGACCCAGCCCTCGTTGACGAAACCGAGAACATCAACACCGACCCAGCCCTTGTTGACGAAACCGAGAACATCAACACCGACCCAGCCCTTGTTGACGAAACCGAGAACATCAACACCGACCCAGCCCTTGTTGACGAAACCGAGAACATCAACACCGACCCAGCCCTTGTTGACGAAACCGAGAACATCAACACCGACCCAGCCCTTGTTGACGAAACCGAGAACATCAACACCGACCCAGCACTCGTTGACGAAACCGAGAACATCAACATCGGCCCAGCTCTGGTTGATGAAAACGAGCCAATCTCAACTGACCCCGCTTTGGTTGACGAAACCGAGAACATCAACACCGACCCAGCCCTCGTTGACGAAACCGAGAACATCAACATCGGCCCAGCCCTGGTTGATGAAAGCGAGGCAATCTCAACTGACCCCGCTTTGGTTGACAAGCCCGTTCCAGCTGGTTCTCCTCTTGTTCAAGTTATCATTAACATTAAGTCCGCCTCAAGCCCAGCTTTCAAGCCTGAAGCCATTGACAACAGCCCCGCTATTATCCCTGAAACTCCCATAATCCCAGACCCAATCAACATTGGCCAACCCGATCTTCCTCTCATCCCAGACCCAATCAACATTGGAAATCCCGTTCTTCCCGACTTAGCCATGAACCTCCCTGACGAACTTCACTAACTGCATTCACAAACAAACCAAATTTATAACTGTAATGAAATTATTATTAAAAGCAAATAAATGATTATTTTTTATATTCGCTTATCCTTAATTATAAATGTCCCGAATAAAATAATTACAGCATATTCAACCGCCTCCTTGACTTAGTGGTGTATGGTTTCATTTCCTAAACATCTTTAGTTCGTTTACTGATAAAACGTATAGAATAATTTATAAAAGATCGTCAAGGTACTAAAACTTGCTTATATAGATGTTCTAAGTATAGTTTTGAATTTTAAATACTGACTATAAGCTAAATATAAATGTAAATAAAAAAATATAATCTGAATTCGAAATATTACACTACTGATGATATTCCACTGGATTCAACTAGCGTTCTTAACTTCTATACCATGTGGCGCCCTATTAGAATTGCAAAAGATTATTTCTATGTGGAATCGAAGATCATATTTAGCCAAGTTAGCTGCTATGAGGTTACAAAACTTATAAATTACTTAAATATAAATATACAAAATTACTTAATTACTTAAAATTCCAAAGATCTTTGGAAAGATCTGTATTTAATTTACAATGTAGACAGTTCAGAGTTAACTAACTGTGTAAACTAAATGTTCAGAGTAAACTAAATGTAAAATTAGAAGCATTAATATGTATTTCTTAACTGACAAGTCATAAGTGTACAATGCGTTACCTATATGATTAAATGATTTTTGAATTTGAATTTTTGTGAGTAGCACAGAGGCCATAGGAGTCCAAAGAAGAGACTTCGGCTGGTTACTTGGACATGGCGCTCGATCGGTTCAAAACACACAAAAGCTGTTTCTCCTGCTTATCAACAAAATAAAATGACTGTGGCGTCCCTGTCACCGGCGATGCCAATTTTTTCTCAGGTGATGCCCAGCAGTGTCGGTACAAACTTGTGCCTAAAATCGAGATTTTTTTTTTTTTTTTATGTAATAGGAGGCAAACGGGCAGGAGGCTCACCTGATGTTAAGTGATACCGCCGCCCATGGACACTCACAATGCCAGAAGGCTCGCAAGTGCGTTGCCGGCCTTTCAGGAATTGGTACGCTCTTTTCATGAAGGACCCTAAGTCGAATTGGTTCGGAAATACTTCTGTGGGCAGCTGGTTCCACATAGTGGTGGTGCGCGGCAAAAACTGCCTTAGAAAACGCTCTGTTGTGGAACGACGGACGTCGAGGTGATACGGATGGTATTTTGTATTTTGCCTTGACGTCCGATGATGAAACTCAGCTGCAGGTATTAGACCGAACAACTCCTCTGAACACTCTCCATGGTAAATGCGGTAGAAGATGCAGAGAGATCCCACATCTCTACGCAACGCCAAGGGATCAAGCCGCACGGAAAGTGACTGGTCGTCGACGATTCGAACCGCTCTTCGTTGAATACGGTCAAGTGGAAGGAGCTGGTACTGGGGAGCTCCCGCCCAGAGGTGAGAGCAGTACTCCATATGGGGCCGAATTTGCGCTTTATATAGTTGCAAGCGGTGGCCCGGAGTGAAGTACCGTCTCGCCTTGCTGAGCACACCAAGCTTTTTGGAGGCTAATTTAGCCTTTCCTTCCAGATGACCGCGAAACTGAACGTTATTCGATATGTCAACGCCCAGTATTCCGATGCTAGCTGAGGCTTTAAGGAGAGTGTCTTCAAAGAGGGGAGTAGCGACAAAGGGAGTTTTTTTAGCGGAAAACGCGCATACTTGTGTCTTCTTGGGGTTAAATTGGACTAGATTTAGTCTACCCCAGTCCGAGACTCCACGTAGAAGAGTTTCGACTTCAGACACAAGTTTGTTCCGGTACTCATCGACAACAGCCCGAGAGATACCTGCCCGGCCAGTGTAAAAAGTATCCCCAGTGCTGTCGTCCGCATAGCAATGAATGTTGCTAAGCTGCAACATATCATTGATATGCAGAATAAACAGGGTCGGGGATAGGACACAGCCTTGTGGGACACCAGCATTCACAGGTTTCAGGTCGGAGCATGCTCCGTCGATGACGACTTTGATGCTCCGATCAGCGAGAAAGCTGGAAATCCAGTTGCATAATTTCTCAGGGAGCCCATAGGCTGGAAGCTTCGAGAGCAGTGCTCTGTGCCACACCCGATCGAAGGCTTTCGCTATGTCCAAACTTACCGCCAGCGCCTCCCCCTTGGACTCAATTGCCTCTGCCCACCTATGTGTAAGGTATACAAGGAGGTCACCAGCCGAGCGACCACGACGGAAGCCGTACTGAGAATCGCTAATCAGCTGGTGGCCCTCTAGATACCTCAAGAGCTGGCTGTTAATAATGGTTTCCATTATTTTGGAGAACAAGGAGGTTATAGCTATTGGGCGATAGTTGGACGGATCAGAGCGATCGCCTTTTTTAGGGATCGGATGTATCGAAGCGATCTTCCAGCACTTCGGAACAGTGCCGAGCGTGTAAAGGTACCGGAAAAGGCGCGTTAGGACCGGAGCCAACTCAGGAGCACAAGTACGCAGCACAATTGGAGGAATGCCATCAGGCCCGCTCGACTTATGGATGTCCAAGGAAGACAAAGCTTTACGGATAGCACGTTGCCGGAATATAACTTCGGGCATCGTAGTATCACACCGCAATAATGTCGGTGGTTCCTTCCCTTGATCATCCAAAGTGGAGTTCGACGCAAAGAGACAGCCTAGAAGATCGGCCTTCTCTTTCGCGGTATGGGCAAGTGACTTAACAGGATCTCCTCCCTATGCAGTGGTGGAGATCCTGTTATTTGGTGTCTGAGAGACGAGCGGTACAAGCGTAGAAGGCAACGCACTTGCAAACTTTCTGGAGTCGAAGATGTCCATGGGCGGCAGAGGCGCTTAATGCTAAGTACGCCGCTTACTTTTTTGTCTCCTGACCCATAAAATTTACATTATACCCCGAAAAAACTTGTACAATGTCATTACGAGAAAAGCGCTAAAATTAATGAAATAATACCTGGGCGGAGGAATTCAAAATATTTAATTCAAATCATCGTCTGTTGGGCCTTTTTTCCTCATCAATATAAATGCCCAACATGTTAAAAGAGCTTTACAAGATAGTTTGTTGATGACACTTCAATATGATTTAAAGTGAAACGACGGAAAACATCACTTGACAATGTAAACACTGCCATCTTCAGTAAAATAATCTTAAGCAAATAGAAAGAAGATATTAAACTTACAACAACTAATATAAAAAGAAAATAGGATTTGTTGATACGACCACGTTCTTAGGTATTATTTTAGTTTGTAATCTCCAGTGGGCCCACAAATATACGTAGTAGGTAAGTCTTTCGAATAGGCTAAGCTCACCCTTTGCTGTGATTAAATACGCGATCTTACTTATTATACTACTATTATTTTCTTACTTACTTTTATTATACTTATTTTCATATTGCTTTACTGATGTTGTTCTTTTGTGGGGTAATACTGGTATAAATTCTATATTTCTGGTACGCAGGTCTATGTCGGGTCATTGTACATTTTAAGCCATTTATGAGAAAGTATGCGGAAAAATAAAGATTCTTCTTAAAAGCAAAGCTTCCATAACTATAACAGTTCTAATAAGACAAAATTAGGCTGCATAAAACGAGTATTTTATTCGAATGCAATTGTACCTATACTTTTTTTTAACGAAATAACACAACCACAAGCAGAAACATTTGGACTTGAACACAGCTTTGCTTTATAAGGTAAATGATGTTACTAGGATGTGATTTCCTTCAGTTCATCATAATCTATTGTTTGATGATGATTTTAAAAACCTTGTAATTATATGGCGCCAATTACGAGAAGAGCAAATAAGCATAGGCAGGCGTGACTTACAATAGCCTCTGTCTTTCCTTCCACCAAATAAAGTGCAGGGAAACGCCAGTTTTTCTAGATATAAAAAAGTGAAAAACAAGATTTTAAATTTTTTGGTGTCATTTGGTGTTATAAAATAATATCACCGGACTACAACAAAACTGTTATAAGTCTTATCCTGGTCCCTGGGGATATGTTTCTACATCCAGATTAAAAATAGTATTTTTTTATTTTACAAAACTCGAAGATATGGGCTTCTAATCATTGATTTAATGTTAAACTTTACCCTAAGTCAATGATTAGCGTAAAAAAATATTAGGGTATAATTTAGTCCTTCACCAAACTCAGGGAATGTCTGAGAACAGTCAGGAAGCTCATCAGGAAGTTAAAGTTTTAAATAATGCAATGATATAATACTCAGTGACCTTTATTAACTTTCAAAAAACAGCTTTTTTGTTGCAAATATCGTTAAGTTTCATTTCCAGTGATTTAGTGTAATTCTTCAGGGAGGTTTATGGCAAGGTCAGGCAGGATGGGGACTCCAATGTTAATTGGGTCTGGAATAATGGGACTTTCTGGGACGAAGGCGGGGCTGTTGTCAATTTCTTCAGGTTTTAGTGCTGGCTTGGAGGCAGCATTGACGTTTATAATAACTTGAACCATTGGAGCGCTAACTGGGACATTTCCTTCGATTAAAGCTGGGTCAGTTGAGATTGGCTCATTTTCATCTACAAGAGCGGGCCCGATGTTGATGTTTTCAGCCTCATCCACAAGAACGGGGCTTGGGTCAATGATAGGCTTCTGTTCACCCAAGATACTTTCCAGTTGCTGTTCAAGAAGAGCAGCGGTGGCGGGGTCAGTGTGAGGGCTGTTGATGGCATCCATGATGGCTTGGAGATACGCCTCATCATGGTTGATGGGCTTTTGCACAGGAACTGCAACTGCCAAGGCAGTCAGAGCAGCGAACGCAATAAAGAACTTCATATTTGCCTGCAACAATATTCTATAGTAAGACAAATCGTTTTTGACTGATATTTATATTGTATTTTTTGTTGGTTAAAAAATCTTTAACCATACATTGTTGTAAAATTTAATTTTTATAACACTTAGGGTTCTTAATACCTAAACTATAAGTATAAGCTTGTAGTTGAAGTCTAACTTCGAAAAAATTTACTATCTGTTTTATTTCTTCGCAACAAGAAAATGAACACAGTGGCTGCCATTGGATCAATGCGTGACTACCTGATAGACAATACAATTGATATTATGAAGCAAGTGAATAATTATATGAGCAATTGTTAATAAAGTAGAGTAAGAAACAATAATTAATATTTCTTGATAATAATAATTAATATGCTTGAAAACATTTTTTTTACAATTAAAAGAATAATGAAATATAATATATTGTTTTTATTAGTTAATAAACAATTATTATTAGAAAATAATACTCACAATTAGATCACAATTTTGCAATAATACAATGTGTTAAATATGCACCGGTTTTTATACTCTTTATTCTGCTATCGGTGACAAGAAATAAATTCATAAAATCATAAAATATCTTCAATTGCTCGACTTTAGATATGAAAGATATGACACATTAAATTCGAGAACATTCTTTTGCTACCGGAAATGATTTAGTTGTGAGATTATAGAAATTCCTAAAGATGAAAAATCCACGAAGACATTCAAAGCCGTTTCCAAATAAAAATGAATCGTTACGTTTTTATTAGGACAGGACAAGCACGATACATCATATGTCATATGAGGCAACAGCTATTGCCCATTGTGATCTTTACCTCATAAAAAATAATTAAATAAATCAGTGGCGCTACAACCTCTTTAGGTCAGGGCCTCAGATTTCTGAATCTGTTTCATGGTCATTTTTAAATCTAATAGGCAAGTAGGTGATCAGCGTCCAGTGCCTGAGACACGCCGTCGACTTTTTGGGTTTAAGACATGTCGGTTTCCTCACGATATTTTCCTTCACCGTTCGAGTGAATGTTAAATGCGCACATAGAAAGAACGTCTATTGGTGCACAGCCGGGATCGAACCTACGACCTCAGGGATGAGAGTCGCACGCTGAAGCCACTAAGGATCTTTAACTCATATTTATTTATTAAAGTTCACCACATCATATATAATGCTTTATCTACAATATATGTTACAATAATGTTAAAAAAATTAACAAGATACAGTAAAAATATTACAATTCCAATTTTAGATTTCATGAGTAATTTTTGCTTAACAATTTGGATTAGGTATCAGATAGGCACTTAACAATGCTTATTTTTTTCATTGATCAGCCCGAAGCCAGCATATATATCGAGCCCTAATATATCGAGCTGGATATGTAGCGTTTATACTTTATTCCCTTATATTCGCGAAGAATTCTTATTTGCGCCTTAACTCGTTGGTTTTTGCAGACGGAATTTGGAAAGTTCTGCTGAATTGGAACTTTGGGAATAAAAGGGACGACGATGTTAATGTTCTGTATTTGACCATTTATAAATTGGATAAGAACGTAACATCGGCTAAAGATCTCCGATCGTACTACAGTGACATAATTTTTAATTTCCGTCGCTGATGGTACGGGTTCTTATAAGACATACGTTATTAGGCTTCCTTGTGGCCTCCAGGTAGCTCCACGTGTTCTGCACTTAGCGTATAATCTGGACCGTTTGTAAAAATGGAATGCGAAACAAAAATAATTTAAGTTTAATTAATTAAACAGGAGATGCAGTAATACTGGCTCCAGCACGTGTTTTAATTATAATTTGTATAACCTCATGTATAACTGAACCGGAAAAACCATTTTTATTATACAATATATAAACGATATTAAAATTATAGCACTAGATATTTTGTAGATAGATAGCATGTAAAACTCAATAAATTTAAATCGTAAAACATTATATGTACTTGATACTGATTACATACCCACCAGGTCTAAGAAAAAATTCCTTCTGTAACTAATAAATACCGCAACCAAGATACTTACTTGGGAACGCAATCCCAATCTCGCCAGATCTCGTGCGATTTTTCGAGATGAATCCCGAAGCGAAACATGACGAAATCTCGTAGGATTTACGAGATAAGTGTCAGAAGTATCAGAAATTTAATTTCTTCGATGAACAAGCGTAGCTCTGAGGGTTGAATAAAAGCAACGTTGTTTTATTTGAGAATCCGTGTAATTTAAAGATGATTTATTATAAATAATTAGTTAATAAATAATAGAAATAGTTATATTAAATATGATTAACAATACTTTGTTTTTCCTTAAAATGTTGTCCTAACTTAATTAACCTCAAAGACACATCTTCATCACAGCCGTTTTCATTGTGTTAAGTGTCCATTGATTGATGTAAACGACGAAACTCGAAACGACGTTCGATCTCGAAAATACCGAGAACTTACGAGATTGTAATTAATAATACCATGAGATCTCTAATTAAAGATTTCGACTCGAGATTGCATTCCCTAATACTCACACCATGCAGCTGGCGTTGCTGGTCTTACTCTCTATATACTTAATTTAAGACTTAATTTGTTGACTTGAAGTAATTTATATAACGAAATAATTTTGCTATTGCCATCCATAACCAATAATAAACATATTTTACTATTACAATACTTTTTAGGGTTCTAGATTAAGTTGGATTTTATAATAAGAATAACTTTTTATTATCAACTTCTTTGATAAGCGATTACAATTACACATTGGCTGTTATTATTAGTGTTAGTATATTGTTACTGTTGTGTTTATTTTGTCATCTATTATTTATTGTCTGAATAGGAATAGTAGAACGTGTTGATATCAGTATTTATTTTTTTATTAAAGTATACCACATAAATTACAACCTATCTAAAATACATAAAAATCATAGTGAACATAAATAACACAACTATATCGATACACCACTTAGCAACGTTTTTCATTATAGATATAGTAAGAAAATACCTAAAAACGTTTTCCGCGCATTCAACGACTGTTAGTATTCGTACCTATGATATTCAAAGTGTATGAGATATGATATACGAAATCATACAAAAGCTTTGTTATTGTTATATAGATGTTGGCGTGTCATCCTTGGGGTCACAGGTTCGACCCTCAGCTGTGCACCAATAGACTTTCTATGTGCGCATTTAAGACTCATTTGTACGGTGAAGGAAAACATCTTGAAAACCGGCTATCTTAGACCCAAAAAGTCGACAGTGTGTATCAGGCACAGAAGGATCACTTGCTTGTCTATTAGAAAAAACAAATGATCATAAAACAGACACCTGAGGTCCAGACCTAAAATGTTGTAGCACTATTGGTAGTATTTAGTTATGGGGCACACATGTCATTAAGTCGGTAGGCAATCAGCCGTCAGCCTGACAAACGTCATCTTGAGTCAGACATACCGGATTCCTTGCGATGTTCTTCACTGTACGAGTAAGTGCAACTTGCAACGTAGAATGAAAAAAAATTTTCGCCACGCCGCGCCCAACGACATCATATGCCGCTCTCTTGCCACCTTCAACGTTCCAGCCATTTTGAATCCAACAGGCTACGCTACAGACGATGGCAAGCGGCCGGATGTCTTTGATCCATTGAGAGTGTGACGGGCTTTGGTATGGGCTGCTACTTGTGTGGACACGTAAGCCCCGTCTCAACTCCCTCGGACAAGCAAAAAAGCTAGCGTGGCCGCAGAGCAGGCGGAAAATAATAAACGGCTCAAATATAAGTATTTCCTCCAACTTCGATTTTGGACCCTTTGGAGTAGAGACTCTTGGGCCATGGGATTCAAGTGATTTAAGTTGGCGCCTGTTAGAAAGTACCGGTGACCCCAGATCTGGTGCTTTCCTCGACATATTTGTGAGTTCGCGAGTGAGTTCACAGTAGCGATATTGTGTATATTATGTGTAAATATTATATGCTTAATTATATTTTATTTTTTCTCGACATAATAGCATTGGCATAGTCTGTATGGGTAATGTATGTAATAAATAAAATATACAATAGTTGTGTTAGTATAAGTTGTAAAAATTTAAGTTAGTTTTTTTAAGTATGGCCCCTTTTCAATTTCTCTGCATTGCTCAGATCTAATTGTCTTGTTTTGGATGATACGTTGAAAGTGCATAATTTTAATTGTTGTGACGTGGAGCGCCTTTAATATTTTTATTATTGTCCTGTTCTTCGTTTTTCATATGTAATAGAGGTGCTATTTAAATGTAAATATATTTTAGATAATAGAACGGAAGGTCTCAGATCGACGTATTGTTAAATGATAAAGAATTTTTTTACATATTTTACACTGTACCATTTTATTATCGTGTTCTAAGATTAAAAGGTTGGAAGTATAGATAGGTGCACGCTGCAGAGATAAGTACCGTCGATACCTACTCGTCTGTATTGCGGTGATATACTTTTCTTAACGTGATAAGATTTTATTGGTGACTATCATAGTGCGAGCATCGTTGGCCTAGTGGCTTCAGCGTGCGACTCTCATCTCTGAGGTCGTAGGTTCGATCCCCGGCTGTGCACCAATAGACTTTCTTTCTAAGTGCGAATTTAACATTCGCTCGAACGATAAAAGAAAAAATCGTGTGCCAGGCACAGGAGGCTGATCATCTACTTGCCTATTAGATTAAAAAATGATCATGATACAGAAATCTTTTAAGAATTAACGCTCTTTCTTGAAGGACACTAAAGCGAAAATACTTCAGTGGGCAACTGGTAAAAAGCCGCTAGCCACTATCGTATCTAAATTATAAAAATATATATTTAAAAAAAAATATTTTAAATACTAGTGGACCCCACAGACGTTGTCCTGCATGATATTTAAAGCGATTAGGATATTAAGCAAAGTATGAAAGTACCGACTGCAGTGCCATCTGCCGGGCTGATTTGTGAATCTAAACCATTCCCAGATCCCCTTGAACACACACAAAAAAATTCATCAAAATCGGTCCAGTCGTTTAGGAGGAGTTCAGTCACATACACACGCACAGAAGAAATATATATATTAAGATTTAAAAAAATAAGATGGTTTTAAGACGATACAAACCGTTTACTTTTATTTATTCACACCTATTGCACTAAATAACAATTTACATGATATGAAAATAAGAAAAAAACATTAGGTAGTGCAACAGGCATATGGCTATTAAGCATTCTCTTCCAGGTGACACTAATAGTATATTAAATTTTTATGGAAATTAACTAATATTTATTTAAAGAAGTTCACCAAATCACTGTCAAACACTACTAGCTAATCGGGGATTCATTCATATATATTATTTCGTAGCTATTTGTTGTTTGTTGTAGTTTTATTTTGTTGTTGTTGCATCGTTCGTTCTTTCGTGGAGACTTCTGTGCTTCTGGAAGGAGCTAGGCTGGCTTAGTTAGCCAGGACTTTACGCATAACGGACCTATCTTAACCATTTTTGCACCGTTCTTTAAATCATTATAATTTTCTATTAGAGTTCATTAATTGACAACTCCCAGTAGGTACGGCTTTGCAATTCATCAGCAATAGTAGTAGTTTTATAACCATTAAAAATGATTGATAGTTTAATCTAATGTCTGGACTATTTGATTCTCATTATAAAATATTATCATCGGCAAGCCAAGAGCATGTACAAAAGTCGTGACCTTATGCATATAAATTATAACGTACATTAGTTTACATATGTACGGGTTAAGTATTTACAATCCACTTCAGATTTACCTAAATACTACAGATACCTAAGGGGTTTTTATTTTTTAATTGTTTTTTTAATAATGTAGAAAAATTAAACCAACATCAATTTGTTAAAATTTTTAGATTTAAGATTGTTTAAGTTATATAATTTTGATGTAAGGGACATTTCACGTGAAGCGGACAGGGAAAAAAGTGAGGTTCTGAAAATTGACCACATTCGGCCCATTTGTACTTCTAGTAGGTATGAATGTGTACGCAAAATATTTTTTTTGTATAGTGTATATTTACCAAGTTATAGGTTTCAAAAGAATTGTCGTTGATTGGTACTACAACAATTTTTCGAATATAACAAATCTACTATAAAATATTTTACATAGCGATACATATTAAAAATATACTGTTCTTTTTGACAGTAAAAAAAAATTAAAAAATTAAAAAAAATTAATGGCCAAAACCGGAAGTAAACTTTTCAAACCAGAATTACAGTCACTTCGACCAATTTTTTTATATTTTTTTTCTTTCAAAATATAGCTTAAATGATAATGAAAGTACACTAGAAAATTTAAAATGGGATCTCTATTAGTTTAGGAGATACGTTGAATAATATACACCCGCGTCGCAATGGGCGTCATATGTAGCACTTGCTTATATCGGTTGGTGTGCGTCAAATAAAATGGCTTGTATAAATTACTGTGATAAAATAGTTCAAACATAATAAAACAACATTGGTAGAACACAAGAACTGTTTATTTTGTAATTTTAACAATTTTACAATGGGAATCTATGGCAAAACTGGTCCTCTTTACAAGAAGGCCTGTGGTTGTTGGAATGAAGCTGTGAAACTTTTTGGTTCCTGAAATGGTGACCGTAGACGCAAACCAGGGTTCCAAAAAAATTCTCTGACGCTCTATATCATCTTTAGAACAGAAATAAATGGCGGTTTGTTTTAAAGATGATTTTGCCCATTCATATAATCGCATTGGTGTTATAATTGCTTTACTTGGAGGTAACTGTAAACTTGCACGCGCAGCTAAACGTTTCAGATTCCCCCCTAGACCATCGCATGGCCCCTTTCCTTGAGATGTTGCATGAAAATGCAACTCTGCATCTGCATTTAAATCTTCTTTGTAATTTATTTCTGTTCTAAAGATGATATAGAGCGTCAGAGAATTTTTTTGGAACCCCGGTTTGCGTCTACGGTCACCATTTCAGGAACCAAAAAGTTTCACAGCTTCATTCCAACAACCACAGGCCTTCTTGTAAAGAGGACCAGTTCTGCCATAGATTCCCATTGTAAAATTGTTAAAATTACAAAATAAACAGTTCTTGTGTTCTACCAATGTTGTTTTATTATGTTTGAACTATTTTATCACAGTAATTTATACAAGCCATTTTATTTGACGCACACCAACCGATATAAGCAAGTGCTACATATGACGCCCATTGCGACGCGGGTGTATATTATTCAACGTATCTCCTAAACTAATAGAGATCCCATTTTAAATTTTCTAGTGTACTTTCATTATCATTTAAGCTATATTTTGAAAGAAAAAAAATATAAAAAATTGGTCGAAGTGACTGTAATTCTGGTTTGAAAAGTTTACTTCCGGTTATGGCCATTAATTTTTTTTTAATTTTTTAATTTTTTTTTACTGTCAAAAAGAACAGTATATTTTTAATATGTATCGCTATGTAAAATATTTTATAGTAGATTTGTTATATTCGAAAAATTACTTTCGAAAAATTGTAGTACCAATCAACGACAATTCTTTTGAAACCTATAACTTGGTAAATATACACTATACAAAAAAAATATTTTGCGTACACATTCATACCTACTAGAAGTACAAATGGGCCGAATGTGGTAAATTTTCAGAACCTCACTTTTTTTTCCCTGTCCGCTTCACGTGAAATGTCCCGTAACTTAAACTGTTCCTTAAGGTGGAATTTAAATCAAAAAAGATAATATAAATATGATGTTAGATTTAGCACTCGTGACATCATACCAAATATTATCATTGGATTATATTTGACTATAACTTGCGTATTATAATCTGAACACTTTTGCTAGAATTGTCTACCAATATCACACACATAAACAACATTTTAACATACCTCCATTTTTGAATTCATCTGCTGTCTATTGTATGTACAACCAACTAAAAAAATTGTCTTATCTTTGGTACAACCAAAAATAACGACATAGGAATAATTTCCGATAACGGTAACGGTAACGATTTAGAAATACATACTATAATAGACCGTATAGAACATCCAACATTTCTATTCGGAACAATAAATGGGAAAATATACAAGAGACTTCCCAATACATTACATATAACATCACAATAATATGATATAATTTACACTGCAACGGTCTTAAAATATGTAAAAGTTATATGAATGCATCAAGATTCAAGATGTAGGCACACGGAATGGCAAAAAATATTATTACACTTTTAAAAATAATATTTCCTTTTTTTTTACTCTCTTTGTGTTGGTATCTAAACTATGAAGTTTTATGTCTTGTTGGTCACGCATTTATTTTTTACGACCCTAGTCGTTCGTCGAAAAAAAACGAATAGTCTGCTAACAATGGGTAATATGGTTTTTGGTTTACGTGTGTACGACACAATTTATTCATTACAAGCAGTCATTTGAATGAACTTTTATTATACATTGATAATTAAACAAAGTTTTAATTAATAATGTTATGGGATACGAACTACACTTCGCAAACAGCTGTTGCCTGTTACTAACTTTAAACATAATATCACGAACTAAATGAACTGCGTATTAATTCTTCCTATCTTGAGTAATAAGTTGTATAAAATACTATTAATAAAAAACAATAATTAATTAATTAACATGTAATTGTTATTTAAAAAATACCCGGAACAATTGCGTGAAGTTACATTGTAGTAGTATATCTAGTTCAGACTGCTTTGGGTTAGTTAGTTAATAAGTTAGGATTCTTTTAACCCAAATATCCTTTGTCTCGCATAACTATAAGATAGGATATTTTAGATTAAAATGGCACAGAATGCCTAAAACAAAAATTATCAGAAAAACTGGTGAAAATATATTTCTGTATGCATCTAGGTCCTGTGAGAATTTGACACTCATACTTTAACAATTTCTTCTAGTAAACATATGTCAGAAGTATGTTTTTTTTAATAGAAATATCAAGGAAGATATTATAAGAACAATGAAATTTAAATAGACAAAATTAGGATTAATAAAACATAACTTTGTTGCATAAATTTAATATTCAATTAACATATAAATTTTATAAAATATTGACAACACTTTGTGATGACATATCTTTTTAATGTTAAGAATATGTTCCCTAATTCTACAATAAATATTAGTGTAATAGTTTTCCACAAATAAAACAATGTGAATATATATTTAGTGACTATTTTTAATAAGTTCCTTCCCAACCTCAAATACATTCAACCACCAACAACCATTTAAAAAATTGATTAACATTACAAACATTCAATAAAATGCCATTGATTTGTTCTTTAGATTTAAAAAAACATAACCAAAATAGTGCTTTGAAATAAATAAACAATAATTAAGCATTGAACATGCATTAACATAATTTAAATTCAATTTGGCCTTTAAAGACCTTATCTTCTTTCATTAAATTGACATTTATGAATCTATTTAAAAAGTTTTCTAAATACATACACTAGACTTAATATAGAATACTTTGCACAATTCCCCTTCCCCATAAATATCTACAATTTTCTATCATATGTACGCCTTCTTTGGTCATCAATTTTAATGAGATAGTATGTACCGGGAAAAAGTGTGTCCACTGGTCCCGAGGGCTCATATGGAGCAGTGTGGTAGTTTTCTGTCCTAACTTGCATATAATCCGAGAACTTTTGTGGTTCTACACTCATACGTTTCTCTAATAGTGACACACTTTCATTAACAGAATTTATTAATTTCTCCAACTTTGATCCAGCGCTCATGTCATTGCAAATGTTAATTGAATACATAGTTGATGCTAAACCTGATCCGTATGAGAATAAAGCAAATTTTTTTCCAATTAATTGTTCTGGAGACTTGCTTACTAGGTAGGATACAAGACCACCATATAAAGATGGAGTGTACATATTACCCACATTTCTAGCCAAATGCAGAGAAGGTTTTGTTTTTGCTTCAAATAAATCCTTACTGTAGGTCATAAATGCCTTCTCAACATCTCTATCAAAATATGTGTTTTCCCGCTTAAACTCATTGAACTGTGAGAGACCAGGGAATTTACTTTCTCTTTCTTCATAAGGTGTATTTAGGAAATCATTAAAACTCACTCTAGCCAATGATTTTTGAACTAATTTACAATATGGTGAGTGAAATAGCATTCCATCTAGACTCAATAAACCTTTAAAGTTAGGATCTATGGCCCTCATTTTTTTAGAAAATAAATTATAGCAGTTGTCCAATGCACTAAGGTAGCACTGAATAGAAAGCTTCCCATCAACATAAGGAAATTCAGATGCAAGATCGGGTTTGTAGAAATCATAGGCATGGGTCATGTACGAAGCACGAACTCCACAATCAAACACTAAAGGGGCATCAGGAGCTATGAGCATTGCAACTGCCCCAGCTCCTCCAGTAGGTCTAGCTGGACCTTTACCATATACTGCAATATCTCCAGCAACCACAATAGCCTTCCTTCCATCCCATGAAGATGATTCCACCCAATTAATAGCATTAAATAATGCTGCAGTCCCTCCATAACAGGCATTAGTTGTGTCTATGCCTTCAATATCTGTTGCACCTTCTTTGGCAAACAGGGTCATAAGAAATGTTTTTACACTTTTACTTTTATCAATAATTGTTTCAGTACCAACCTCAAGGCGTCCAATGTCATGAAGGTTAATGCTGTTCTTTTCAACAAGTCTATGAAGCACTGTGAGACAGATGGAGTTAATATCTTCTCTATCTGTGCAAAATGCCATTTTACTTTGCCCTAAACCAATTGTATATTTCCCAGCAGCGACTTCATCATATTTTTCCAATTCCACTTGATCAACATATTGCGAGGGAAAGTAAATTTCCATAGCGTGGATACCCACGTTTTCAACTTTGCCTTTGCCCATTGCGATAAGGTTAACTGATGAAACACCAATATAATGACACAATTTTCTCGGAAATAACTGTAACTTGCGTCGCGGACTACTAACTCTCGTCGCGTCTTGATTCAGAGTAGACTCGCTCGCTACGGCAACTGCCAAGAACTCGTTCAGTGTCGACGTCAGACGCAACCACTAGTCCACTATTGACTATACTGCCGGTATGCGTAATGCGATCATCATACCATTGACCTACTACGGAACCGTTAACCTAACTTTCTTTTACTCTTACACGGCTGGCCGATAACAATATTAATGTGACGCAAACTGTCCGGTTATATACATAAATGCACCATTAAATAATTACGTTTAAATTACATTAATGCTTTTGTTTCACAACGTGTAATTAAAATTTATTTTCTTATAATTTTTAATTTCTGCAAGTCGACGAACTTTTAAATTTGACGTTTGAACTTTTGTCTTCTTAGGGCCAGTTTTTTGATCCGTAGTAAAAAATGGTTTTACCATTTGTTACATTAACTATAGTTAAATGAATAACCATTGGTAAAATCGTAAATGCGTTTTTCAATGCCTTTTTTAACTATAGTTAAAGTTAACAATTTGTCAATTTGTTGCCAGTGCAATGAGCAATGACATCCCAAAAAATGTGGTTCTTTTTTGTGGGGATCATTTATTTTGTATGACAACACTAGACATATTGAGTGAATGAAATCCATTTTTGCCATCTTCATTCGTTATTTGCGCTTTGAAGAGTTTGAAGTGTCAAATTAATCTAAATAACACGATATAAATAAAGTTGTTTTTCTGTGATTTAATACGGTTTACACTTTTACGATACTTAAATATATAAATAACGATGTCCGCAAACAGCCAACGGTCAAATAAGTAAGTTCAAACATATTTTCGTGTTATTTATTCCGGTTTATCTTGTGTTTCGTAATAGAAAGTAATACATTTATGTTTTGTTAAAGGGACCATACTGCTAACTTCGCCAAAAAAGAAACTGCCAAACTGGTGATGCTTCTCAAGGATTACACAGTCGTAACCTGCAAACAACTGATCACTGCAGCAATCTACAAAAAGATGCAGCTTGGAAATCTCTGTGACGTTTTCAACTCAGATGGGTCTAGACACCGAAGTGTTAAATTTAATATACATTTAATGAAGGTGTAGGCACATTTTTATATTTATTCTTGTATAGCTGTGTCCTACAACAAAAGGAAAAAATCTTTTAACCCTTTGGAAACAAGGAAGCGGATTATGATCCACACGGATAAAAAAAATTGAGTTTAGAAACAAAGACAAATAAGAGAGGATGATTTGTTCAATTATGCTTAAGAAGAGCATCAAAAACATTTGCTGCACCAATGAGAGGCCCACCAAAAATTCATACTGCATAAAGAGGAGGTGCACCAAAAAGTGATGCAGCAGATGGAAGAAAGGCACAATAAATATATGTAGCAGCAAAAAGAGTTGCATCAAATTGAGGTGAAATGCAAGAAGAAACAATTAGAAAATATTTAATTGCTACTTTAGGGTTTCATGTAAATTTTGTAATGTTTTTTTTAATAAAAATGGTTTGTATTTAAGTTATAATTAAACAGTTTATTAATCAAGTCAAATGTTTTATTTATAAATTCTTGTAATAAAGTAGATAGATGCTAACTCACAAATGTAATAAAAGCCCTAAAGAATATCATAGGTCCCTAACTAATGTGTAGCTGTAGTTTTTAGTATAAGTACATACTTGTATGTACTTATAATAATTATAAGTTAATATTATTAGTAATATATAAATAATATTAACTCTAATTCATTATGTATTCTATTGCCTATAATATTAACTTATAATAATTATAAGTTAATATTATAGGCAATAAAACACATAATGAATTAGTAATATACTTAATTATATACTGCTGCGGTTCTGTAGCTAGTAATGAAGCAAAATAGGTTTGTATGAGCTGCTGTCTATATATACTCTTGTTCTTGTATTTTATTTAATTATAATAATTATAAGTTAATATTATAGGCAATAAAACACATAATGAATTAGTAATATACTTAATTATATACTGCTGCGGTTCTGTAGTTAGTAATGAAGCAAAATAGGTTGGTATGAGCTGCTGTCTATATATACTCTTGTTCATTGGCAGTTTAAGATCATTCCCAATTTCAGTAACAATCCAGAGCACTGTTCCCTTCGATAGGGGGTAACAGTGACAAAAATCTACATCATCCCAGGTTTCTAATGGCGGATGACATTGCCTAAATATTTTTGGTCACTCATTAACACATTCTCATATAATATTATCGTCTTCTTCATCGTCTCATTAATTAAAGTATCTCAATATGTTTAAATTCATCATTAGATAGTAATAAACGTATTTATCATAGTTTGATTTCTGTGACAAACAGCTGTTAGTATATAAATTACCAGCGGCCATCTTTTTAACCCTCCGATACTGAGTAGTTAACTTTTTTGACTAATGGTTAGATATTTTACCATTGGATGCTCTTACCACGGATCAAAAAACGCATTTTGCTGATATTTAACTAATAGTAACGATTTTTTACCAATAGTTGAGTTAACTACGGATCAAAAAACCGGCCCTTAGTCCTAATTCTGTTTGTCAGTGTCAACGTTTCAAAGGATCTAGAAAGTAGAAACCCTTTTTCAGTTTCCCAACCTTTTACTTGAAACTGGCATAAAGTTGAAGCTGTTGCCAAAAAGTTAAAAAAAAAAAACCCTATTTCAAATTTTCAAGTAGTACAGATTACTTAAGTAATACTCTCTCCCATTAATAATATTTCTTTCTCTATGTAGTCCTGAGAATGAGAATTAATCAAGTATAATTTAAAAATAATATTTATATAGGTCTCTTTCTGATATTGATTTTTTATTCAGTACGCATATTTTTTTTTACTTAGACCATGTCGCGATCTTGATCGCTGCACAGCTTGCCAGCCAGCCTGTGAAATGTGTGGTTAAATTTACATGTATTAAATGTCAGGAGTATCTGTATAGTATATGTAGTGAATCTATGTGCAAGCTGCGCCATCGCATCGCGCACCTTCTGCTATTAAAATTTAGAACAACCACGTGAGCCGTGTCAGCAGTTGGTCAATGTTCAAATAATATATATTTAAATTACTTTTGTGAGCTGTCTGTGTATCGCCTCTTCAGCTAGTACAGTATAGAATAGCCACGTGAGCCGTGTCAGCAGTTGGTCAAAAAAAAAACTAATATGAAACGTATATACATAAAATATTACTAATACGTATTTTTACTTTTCTAAGTACCTCAATACATACTCTTCTATTGTAATTTTTGAAAATATTTCAAAAAACTACGTGTTGATTGAGGTTTGAAGATATAATTTATATAAAATAAAGTCATTCTTAGGCCACGACAGCTCAGTGTGTATACAGAAACAGACTCTCTCTCTTTCTCTTATCTAGCTTTCAATGCACGATGGAACGGAAGTGTCCGAGAACTTGAGTACACGGTAAGATCACAGAACCGACAACATTCTGCGCTCACATATTTCTTGCTAGACAAATCGCAACGGGATTATTTCCATACCAAATCTGACCCTCATTATGTGAGTTCAGTACATCGAAGCGATTGATATAATGTGATTGTGATGATATTAATAATTACGTAATATTAGTTTTAAATTGTCTATATGTTACTGTTACACCTGTTTTAGTACTCTTTGATTTCTTACATTCTAACAAGTACATCAAACACATCATTCTAATTTCTACTTTGTCTGTGCTCGTAAAATATCGTATGTTACGTTAACTTTCACTATATCACCTGTAACGGTTACTCTTAAGGTCAGTGTCGACTATTTAAATTCCACGCGCCACCCAACTTGATTTTGACCGACTTCTTGAAGAGTGTGTAGCAATTTGACGTGAATAGGAAATTATAAAAGTTTCTGGCTGGCCATATAAACTTTTTGTGCAGAAACTGTAAAAGACATTCATTTCTATTTGGGTGTAAATGCCGATTACGTAAATACCCATAAATTTTAAAATATCATGTATAATTAATATTCTCTTGTACTCGGAAAGCATTACTTTAATATTAATCCGAGATTAATTTTCGCCACCCAACATGACAAAGGGGCCTTAAATAATAATTATTTTTGCTTCCTTATTCTTCTTTCTTTCTATTATGCTTTCTTCCGAGAAATCCGTGAGACTATTTCACGAGACCCACTTTATATGCTATAATTGTCATTGCACAATCGTGCAAAATCCATTAAAATAACTCGTAAATGAACACAATTATGCTTAATGAAAATACTTAATAACTTGTTGCAATTACATTTCTTTTATACGTTTTTTGTTCATGGCTAGACATTGTCTCTAGGCAGAGGATTGATCAACCTTCTGTCCTCGACACCCGAGCCCTTACTTAGGAATTTACAGATTAAAGGCGCTGATTTTTGGATAAAATAATTGTCTCCAAATGACATTTTCCTTAACTAGCAGGAAAGAAAGAAAGAAAGATCGATTCATACGTCGTGGTCGAAAAATCGCTCGCTTGTTTATCAGGCTTACACAAAATAAAACAATCAGATAATTCATATTATTTAATAGTAAATATTTTTATAAATCTCATTGACGATTGGTTATTCTAGTGACATTTATTTCATTCGATTTTATTGGTGTAAACTTGTAAAATTTGACGCCTGCAACAAAATTATTATTATATTATTTAAGAATGTATAGTAGTAATTATGTAGTCCGGTATCCTAAATTAGACGCTGGGCCGACTATTCTGCATTATAGTTACTTATTTTATATGAATGAGTTTTTTTATATAACTGGGGGCTCATCTGATGTTAACAATAACGCCACACTGCTAGAAGCCTCGATAGTGCATTGACTTATATGAGTTTGTACGCTCTTTTCTTGAAGGACCTTTAGTCGAATTGGTTCAGAACTACTTCAGTGGGCAGCTGGTTCCACATAGTGGTGCGCGGCAAAAACTGCATTAAATAAGTTCAGCTCAGTTGTGGAAAGACGGGGAACGACGTGCTACGGGTGGAATTTCGTATTTTGCCTCGGCGTCCGATAATGAAACTCAGCTGCAGGTTATCCGAACAACTCCTTTGAACACTCCCCACAGTAGAATGTGCAGAGTGACCCGACATCTCTACGCAACGCCAAGGGACCAAGCCGCTCGGAAAGTGATTGGTTGTCAACGATTCGAATCGCTCTACGTTAAATACGGTCAAGTGGAAGGAGCTGGTACTTGGGAGCTCCCAGAGGTGAGAACAGCCAGGAGAGTTGTCGGCCAGGTAATTATTTTTCAGGTAAAAAGCTCTGAATAACTAAGCTACTAATTCATCTGTCATCAATGAGTACTACATAAATATAAGCTTCTTAAGAATCAACAGAAAAAATATCATAGAACATAACTGAAATTATGGAAACACGTCAATTTTTTGTGATCTATGGGATAAATATATTAAAGCCTTATGCTTACCCGAAGGATTAATTCTAGATTTGAAGGTTTTGTCCTTTGTTCCATACGATCGCGAAGCTTCTTGGTCAAAAAGCTCCTGCAAAAAATCAAATACAGTATTTTTATTTTATAATTAAACAGTCTTTCAGCACTTTCCAGGTATCAGTGAAATGTTAGAAATAATATCAATAATAATCAAGTTAATTTGAAAGCGGCACCAAAGGATAATAATGATAGAATCAAAAGAAGTATAAACTACAAATAACTATTAATTAATATTATTCCCCTACACTAGTACACTTTCTCTATTAGGTATGTATTTCTAGTATGCAAAATATCAAAATAAAATTTATAAAAATGTAATTATAATATATATGTATTGTAATGCCATCTACCTCCACATGGTAATTCTGTTCGGGTATCCTCATGTCATTAAATGCAGCGGCTACAGTGTAGGGGGCGCCATCATCGCGTCTGCTCACAAACGCCACCGCGTAACCATTCGATAATTCCCGACTCCAAATCTGCAAATTGAAAAGTTCAATAAGTTGTATTTTAAAGCGAACACATGGCGAAGGGCACACTTAACACAATGTATGAAAGAAATTAATGAACTCCATATATTAAGAGACGTTTTTCATTGTCCGTTAACAAAAGGTTTGATTCATGTCAGTTCATACTGTAGGCAATAGTCTATTTGTAAATATTTAATTTATTAGGGTGCGTCCACATCTGGCGAATGCGCCGCGAATGTGCAGCTCGCGAGCCGTTTGCGGGCTGCGCGCGTGCAGTCACGGCAAAGGTTTGGTGCGCCTCTTTAGCGTAACTCATGCAAGGCTCGTAAAAGGCTGTGATCTGCGCGCATTCAGTTCGCGGCATATTCGCCAGATGTGGACGCACGCTAAGAAATATTGTTTGCGTTCTATAATTTATTTTTATTGCTTATGATCATATTTTTCCTCCTGAATTTCTCCAAGCTACAACTCTCACGCTGATAAAAGAAAATCCCACTTCAAGATACCAAATCTTACCTCGCATCTTGACTTATTCCAGACCCGCATGCCCTGTTTTCCCATTTCATCCTGATCTATTTCAATTACTCTATCATTAAGCAGAATTTGCTTGAACTCGTCTTTGATAGTATTCAGATCGACGCTCATCATCAGGGGTGCTGCCATGATCGACCAGACTGCCATCTGGACCCTTGCCTGGTCCACAGATAGACCGTAGTTGCCGATTAAAAGCTGTAATCAAAATCTTGTTACATGCCAAAACACCAATTCGTTCTTTTTAAATTCTCAATTTCAGCCATACCATATCAGGGTCATTCCAATGCCCAGGACCAGCGAATTCCACCAGTTCAGGTCTTTCCGCAAACCAGTCCATGATACTGGTGAGAGATGCCCAGGAGTCCTGTATATCATCAGTGTTCCTCCACAGATTGCAATGCTCTCTAATCGACTTGTAGTCGGGCTGTAAAATCCATATGATATACAAGTAACTCAGAGATGTAAATTAATTAATTATGAGTGAATTTTTCTTTTTAATTTTAATAGTAAGCAGTGTTCGCGTTGGCTTCAGAGTCTTGGCTTTCATCTTCAGGTCTGAACTCCAATGAACTTCGTTTGAACTCACTCGTAAAAATAGTGAAGAAACCGTCTCGTGAGCATGAGCCCTTACACCCAAACGACGGCGTTTGTCAGGCTCAGAAGGCTGACTATTAGACCAAAAGAAACAGAGGCAGCCATCTGAGGTCCAGACCTAGCAGGTTATAGCGCAACTGGTTTTTACAAGGTTAACATAATATTACAAAGGACTTATAAGGAATCCAGAAGATTCTTTCAAATATCTAATTTGTTAGTCAGCGTAACGTAACCAAATCTGTTTTTCTGTATCCTTATGCGTCTGAAACATCGATGATCGAGTTTTAGGTCTAGGAGTAAAATACAGAGATCATACAGAATTTTAGGGATCTTATAATAAATATATATACTAAAACTAGCTGACCCGGCAAGCTTGATTTTGCCCTAAGTATATTATTATTTATAGAAAACATTTTTTTAGTTCAATAAAAATAACTATTTATCTACCATTAATCGTAGAGGGGTGAAAATTAAGGGTTGTACGTATTTTTGTATGTTGTAGAAATAAAATTGTTAAAATAAAAAATGTTGTCTAAAAAATAAAAATAAAATTTAGGGGTGGACCACCCTTAACATTTAGGGGGATGAAAAATGAATGTTGCCCGATTCGTTGACCCAACCGATATGCACACAACATTTCACGAAAATTAGTCAAGCCATTTCGGAAGAGTTTAATTGCAAATACCGTGACACGAGAATTTTATTTATTAGACATACTTATAATAAAAACTGGGGCGGCCGCAGAGCAGGCGGAAAATAATAAACGGCTCGATATAAGAGTCTTTCCTCCAACTTCGATTTTGTTGCTTTTGGAGTTGTGACTCTTGGGCCGTGGGGTTCAAGTGCACAGGCGCTAATTAAAGGTTTAAGTTGACGCCTGGTAGATAGTACCGACTACCGGTGAAAGATCTGGTGCTTTCCTCGCTCAACGAATAAGTATACGCAATACAGGAAATGCTGCCAGCTAGAGACCAATCTTTTAAAATTTGTTTTTATTTTCAATTTATAAATTTTAAATTATTATTATTACATAGTATGTAGGTTAAGAAAATTGTAAATACTATATTTTTGTTTAATTAAAATATTGTTTAAAGTAATATTTTACATTATATACCCATAAAAACTTAAGTTAAATATCGCTGTTACAACTTACTTTGTCTTGATACGCAGGCCAACTGCACGAGTACACCATTGGTCGCCCACTTTCATTCATAATTCTACCAAATTCAGGATATCCTGTAAAAATATATAATGGTAGGGGAGCCCACGATGCTAAATGGGGATTTACTCGAGCGTCGTAGAGACCTATTGGGATGCAAAGCTTAGATAATAAGAAGAAAAAAATGTTATATGATAAATTCCTTTTCATCGGTGGGGGAAGCGGCTATAGATAGTTAAATATGTAAAAAAAACTGTTGCATGGACATCCTCGAGCGCGTCAGATATTGATAGCATCTATGCCCTACGTATTTTTAATAATGTACGTATGTTAATCTGATCGTTTGCATGATGCGGGTGGTTGTATTTAAGGGTTGAAAATGAAAAAAAAAAAATTTATCGAGCGCGTCAGATTTTCTAAGGGAGTGTTAAGTGCACCAAAAAAAAGCTCTCATTCACTAATCTGACGATTTCGATGGGACGCAAACCCACAGCCATTTTCGTAATTTGCAAAAAAAAATCGCAATTTTGAAATACTCAAGCGCGTCAGATTAAAATATATGTGGTTCATCTTTATGTTCTAAACGTACTGTCTCATAATCTGACGATTATCTAGAGGGATTCGCCTGATCTGACAAAAAAAAATTTAGAAAAACGGTTCACCTAAAGGGCCATCCCTGCAACTTCCCGCTAATTCCATTCCTGGGCGCTTAAAATTGATATTTTGAGCTCGCTGAGTTCAAAGAAATAACATTTCTATGCATTTGAGCTCTCCCAGCTCGAAAGTCTGATAGAAGTTTCATAGAACACTATTTTTGGAATTTTCAAACCGCAATAACTTTTGAATGGATCAAGCAATTTTCACGCGGTTGGCGGCATTCGACGCAGTTTTATCATCCTCATAAGTAATTTTAATTGATCGAACCACAAATTTCGGAGTAATCCCGAATAAACACTTTTTCGGGTTTCTTTCGTTGACGATATCTCTCGAACGAATCAACCGCTTTTGACCAGCTTAGTGGCGATCAACGTGGTTTTTCAAGCTCAAAGGCGGATTAGTTTTTGAAGTTGATCGATAAAGAAACCACTTTAAAAAAAATATTTCTTATTTTTTTAAGATTTTTCAAAATTTCTCAAAATGTATCGGTCCGAATCGGTTCAAATTCACAGGAAATGTAATTTTGAGGGAAATATTTAGAACGCCGTTTAGTAGATTCCGATCGGTTTAAGGAAATGTAGGCATCACGCAGCTGCACGCATTTAACTTTATCGACGAATTTTTGTTATTTCGGCTTGCGGAAATCGTCAGATTATATATTTTTCATTATTCTTGAATTATTTCCTTCAAAATAAAAAAAAATTAGCCACGCTCGAGAATGTCGAGATGACGTTTTTTTTACAACTTTGTTGCCCTCCCCTTTTTTCCGTCACTCTCAAATTGTCAGATTAGTGGAATATACACTTTTTAGGATGTAATTAACTCACCCTACCTTAATCTGATGCGCTCGGGAATTTCTGATGGTCAATTTTTTTTTACTAATCTGATCCTGTCTCCTTCACAGGCGGCCTTATATATGGACCTCATGTTTTGTGGAGGTACTTAACCGAGTACAAGCTATCCCCCTGTATATTAATCTGCCGCGCTTTAGTAAATCCCGAAATCCCCTCTTGGGCTCCCCTACCATAATACTAGCAGACCGGCCAAGCGTTGCTGTGGCTAAGGTTTTTGTTATATTACATAGTAGCAAACTATTCAAGGGTAGGAGAACACCAGTCATGGGGACCACCATGCTTTTTTGGTGGTAATGCCATTAAATTGTAGCTTATGTGAAACGGTGGTACTTTCAACACAGCGCCATCTGTTAGAATTGTGACTATCAAATAATAAACAAATATTTTGCAATAAAATAATATTGCGGGTATAAATTGGTCTTCAAATTAATCCTGCCAAGAGTCAAGTCATCATCATCGGAAGCCCTTTCTTTATTTCAAGAGTCAAATGGGCTCAGCTCCCTGGTGTTTACCTTGACGGTGTGGCCTTGGCCCTCAATAAGACTGTTAAAAACCTTGGGGTCTTCTTCGACCAAACGTTTTCCTGGGGTCATCACGTAAAGGAGATCAGCCGTAAACTGTACGCCGCTTCTTTTACTCTGAAACGTCTTTCTAATTTCCTTCCTATCCGCACTAAAACTATGTTAGCGCAGTCTCTTCTGCTTCCTATTCTCGATTATGCGGACTCATGCTCCTCTGATTTGAACGAAGAGCTACTTGACAAGATCGAACGCCTGCAGAATTTCTGCATACGGTTCATATTTGGTCTTAGGAAATATGACCATGTGTCTAAATTCCGCAGGCAGCTGGGGTGGCTACCTATTCGATTCAGACGTCACGCTCATCTTCTTCAACTCCTATACTCAATTCTTTTCAATCCGAAAACCCCTTCTTATCTCAAAAATCACTTTAAATTCTTAGGTCCTTCTAACTATATGTTACGCTCTTCTAAAGGTCAGTACTCACATACGGTATTACTCGATAGTTTTACTCGAAATCGAGTAGAAATCAACATGTGGACCGCAAAACTCACAGCTCGAAGGCTCGCACCGAGCCGGCTCGATGGAATTAAATTAAAGTAATTTCCTTCGAACCTACTCGAAGCGAGCCGTCAATCTTGACTCGAACGTGTGTACGTGACTGCGAGTGGCGCGAGGCGAGCGTCAGTCTGGTTTTGTTTATCGTTATTGAAACACGTGTTTTTAAGAGAAATGGATTTCCAAAAGCGCTATAGAAGACTTTATTAACACATATAGACAGTGTGAGCGTTAATGGAATGTTAAGTCCAAAGATTACTCCCAAAAAATAAGAGAAATGAATGTTATGATAAATTACTAGCTGTGCTTCACGATTTTCTTTTCATTTTCTTTGATTTTCTTATAAAGCACTGTGAGACTTGCTAAATACAGCCACCGTCTCCTTTATTGCACAGACATCCTTCGGCTCGATCGGTTCGGTGAATACTGAACGGCGCGCTTCACTCGATAGATCAATGCTCAATGTGTGGACGAAAGCCCATGCCATGGGTTTTACTCGACAGTTTAGTTAGATCGACGGTATTACCGTATGTGAGTACTGACCTTAATAGATGTTTATTGGAAATTCCATCTCACACTTCATCCTTCTTAAACAATTCATTCACGATCTCCGCCATTAAGTTGTGGAATACGCTGCCCGACTCCGTACGATTGGCTACCTCACTGTCATCTTTTAAAACTCTTCTGTATAATCATTTCTTAACCTTATCCTATCCTGATCAATCGTGACTTGTATAAATCTTATGTTTCCTTTTACATCACTATTTGCTGTCCATGTATTTGTAAGATTAGCTTTTAAGTTTTTAGTCTGTTGTTAATATTTTTTTTTGTATTACTTTAGATTAAGGTACTATGTATATATATATATTTTTTTATATAACATTTGTTACTGCACTTCTCGCACGAATCATGTTTTTTTTTTTAGTTTTTTCTTTAACTAGGGTTGCCCGGAAGAGATCGCTTATTAGCGATAAGGCCGCCCGTTGCATCCCTTATAATTTTTTTTTTGTATTGTGTTTGATTTATTGTTTTTTGCAACGAAGTGTTAATAAATAAATAAATAAATTGATTGATATCGGTAGTTTAGGAGTCCATAGCGGACAAACAACGTGACACGTTTTTATATAATATATATTAAGATTGTACATCCAAGTATACTATAGTCGATTGCTGTGATTTTGTGTTTGACACGGCCTATACCCTGGAACTTTCGGTATGATTTCCTATGAAACAATAGTTATTTCGAGTTGGTAGCTTTAAAGACGTACTCGAAAACTAAATTTGTATAAAAATTTTTTCGACACGAACTGTAATTTTCATGCAAATTTAGTTTTCTTCTTCTTCTTCTTACCGCGTTCTTGAACACGCAGTGTTGTTTCACGTAATAAAATTTATTAAAATAATAAGTAAGCCGGTATTCTTTTTGACCGACTTCGCAAATATCAAGGTTTCAATAATATACGTAGCCACCATTTCTTAACTTACTGGAATCAGAGGTGCCTCGGTGCCTGTGTTTGAATTTTGTTACCCCGTGGAACCTCATTTTATATTTTAAATTATCGAATTCAATTTCGACATCAAAGTGTTTAGACCTAATATTGGTTGCAATTTTATTTTAATTAAATAAATTAAAAAAAAAAGATTTTTAAAAGTTTGACTGCGGGAGTAACGAATGTACCACACAAATTATAAGTTCTACTAAGGAACCTTTTTTAAATTAAATAGTATCGTAGTATTTACCTGTATCCATTTTAGACAGTTCGACATTACACCCATCCAGTTTTATATAATCCACTCCCCATCCTACAAATGAGTCCACATCGATCTTTTCATGGCCTAGCACGCCAGGGTAGCCCGCACATGTTTTGTTTCCGTAGTCTTGATACAGAAAGAATTTCAAGCCTTTTGAATGAAGCTGAAAATTTTAATAATAGAATTAATTTTTTCCCGCTGGGCTATGTTTCCAGGGACGAAATTATGACGATGATAATTAAAACGTGTGCAATACTGGGGATGAGAATGTAACACAAGACGCAAGCATTCGTTAGATTGTCATTGGACAAATGGGCGTCTGACGTATCGCGTCACGTGTCGACTTGGATTAAAGATCGATCGAATAATACATGTATTGGATTTTGATTCTGCAGAGACCGTTACATATTCGCGTCGGTATGGCGGGCTGTAAGTCACACCGGAGAAGTATGGGATGACACTGCCGCCTCTTATTTTTTTATGGATTATCGGAAAATACTAGAACTATTGTGGAACAAATCGTTTGATTTTCGTAATTATTCCGACGAGTTCGACTAACGCCCACGCGATTGGGCCGCCGGTACGAGCGCTATGACCATCATTTTTCTTTTTTTCATTGCGTAATAAGACCCCTGAAGAACCGTCATACTGGTACAAATGACCCACTATTTTGTGTCACTATCTCCCGGCCTAACAACTCTCAGCATACTCATACATACATTCATGCATACTTAAGTTCTTATACGACTTTTGTTTGATTGGAGTTAACAAAGACTACTTTTTCTTTAAAAAAACTGCTTTAAACATGCACCATGTACCACGAAATAATTGTAAACTGATTACCCACAACACAAAAGCTCGTTAGTGCAGGGACTAGCAAAAGATAATTTTTGTCACAACCATATATCTGTCATGAATAAAATTTTATTATATTTTATTATTTCGTCTTGCGTTTTACATTCTCACGCCTCTGTATATGCTGGGATTCCAATTAACTCACTCAATAACTTATATCTTTAACAAATTGCCGATTCTAATAATTATGACGTAGTTTTACTATGTAATCTAATTTCTATTCTTGGAGATATCGCTAAATTGGATAAAATCCGTACGAAAACTCGACATTAAACACGTAATCTAAGTTAGGAAGAAAGTCTGCTGATTTATATATTCCCTCCGTGTGGTATATTCTTAGTAACTCAACGAAGTTTCCAAAAGCAATTTGTGTTTTCAGTTAAAAGAAATAAAAGATCATCTGGTGAAATGCCATTACTAACCTAAGATGGAGGGCATACAAATGAGTAATTCTCTCTTACGGCCTCTAAGAGAATCATTGAGCTATTTTACAATTTGATCGCTAATAACAAATAAGGTAATTTTTTTTAATAGAACGGGGCAGGAGGCTCACCTGATGTTAAGTGATACCGCCCATGGACACTCTCAATACCAGAGAGCTCGCAAGTGCGTTGCCGGCTTTTAAGAATTGGTACGCTCTTTTCTTGAAGGACCCTAAGTCGAATTGGTTCGGAAATACTTCAGTGGGCAGCTGGTTCCACATAGTGGTGGTGCGCGGAAAAACTGCCTTGAAATATTTTATTAAAAATATTGAATTATCAATTGATATAATAATTATTTAATTTTTTCTTTGTCGATTGTTTAAACACAATAAAAAAGTTTATTATAACTAGACATGAATGGTTCCGCCATTATACGTTAATAATAATATAAGTTATTGTTCAAGACTTTTCCGCCTTATGGGAGGTTATTAAGAATAATATACATTATTATAAAGAAATATTGTAATTAAATTATAGTAATTGCGAAATAATGGCTATTCAAGATTCTCATTCATGTCTAGTTATAATAAACTTTTTTATTGTGTTTAAACAATCGACAAAGAAAAAATTAAATAATTATTATATCAATTGATAATTCAATATTTTTAATAAAATATTTCAAGGCAGTTTTTCCGCGCACCACCACTATGTGGAACCAGCTGCCCACTGAAGTATTTCCGAACCAATTCGACTTAGGGTCCTTCAAGAAAAGAGCGTACCAATTCTTAAAAAGCCGGCAACGCACTTGCGAGCTCTCTGGTATTGAGAGTGTCCATGGGCGGTATCACTTAACATCAGGTGAGCCTCCTGCCCCGTTCTATTAAAAAAAATTACCTTATTTGTTATTAGCGATCAAATTGTAAAATAGCTCAATGATTCTCTTAGAGGCCGTAAGAGAGAATTACTCATTTGTATGCCCTCCATCTTAGGTTAGTAATGGCATTTCACCAGATGATCTTTTATTTCTTTTAACTGAAAACACAAATTGCTTTTGGAAACTTCGTTGAGTTACTAAGAATATACCACACGGAGGGAATATATAAATCAGCAGACTTTCTTCCTAACTTAGATTACGTGTTTAATGTCGAGTTTTCGTACGGATTTTATCCAATTTAGCGATATCTCCAAGAATAGAAATTAGATTACATAGTAAAACTACGTCATAATTATTAGAATCGGCAATTTGTTAAAGATATAAGTTATTGAGTGAGTTAATTGGAATCCCAGCATATACAGAGGCGTGAGAATGTAAAACGCAAGACGAAATAATTATAATAAAATTTTATTCATGACAGATATATGGTTGTGACAAAAATTATCTTTTGCTAGTCCCTGCACTAACGAGCTTTTGTGTTGTGGGTAATCAGTTTACAATTATTTCGTGGTACATGGTGCATGTTTAAAGCAGTTTTTTTAACCCTAGATCACTAAACATTAGTCTCACAGGCTACACGACTCTGACGCATTCGCTGTTTATGTATGTTCCCGTTACCGCACCCCCCTCAGCCGCTCAGTACCTTCCTAATTCGGCCAATCAGTGACCCGTGAACTCGCATTGCGTACGCAAGCTTCCTACTTCCAGAGATATTACGCAATAGTAGTCTCTCAGGCTAATGTTTAGTAATTGCGCCACAAAAGTGAAGAAAGGTAAGTTATGAAATATTTCTTTTTATTTACGATTTTATCTATAATAACTAATTACTGATTAATGTAAATGAATAATAAATATGTGTGATACTACGAGCAATATTTATTTTATGAACTTATTATCATTTTTTATTTTTTTATGAGATTTTGAACATTTTGTTTTAGCAGTATTTTCTGTTACAGATGGATTTGATACGAGATCAAGATAAAATATTGCAGATTTTGAACGAGTCAGATAATGACGATGACGATTCACCATTTTTTGGACCATCTGGTGTGCCTTCGGACTCCGAACCTGATGACAACTTAGAGGAGGACTTAGTCGAGGATACCGACGAAATTGAAGATGATTCGTCGAGTTCTTCTGATGAAGATCTAAATGTTTCCCGGAGAAGCCGTAACAGAAACAGAATCCTAGATTCTGATGATGATTCTTTGGAGTGTTTGCAGCCTTGTCCACCCATAGCTTCTCACCAGGATCTGGTAATACAACCTGAGAGACCATACATTTATGGAAAAAACAAACATAAGTGGGCAACTACTCCACGCTCTTCAAACACTCGTGCATCGGCTCGAAACATTATTCATTTTGTACCCGGACCTAACAGTGATGCAAGAGATTTGGTAGAACCACTTCCAATATTTCATTTGTATTTATCTGAAAGAAAAAAATCAAGAAAGATTCATACTTCGATGTTTGCATTTGATGGTGAGAAGACTCTGGTCTCGTATAAACCAAAATCTAACAAGACAGTATTTCTTCTTTCGACAGTACACAGTCAGCCAGACATTAACTCCACTTCGAAAAAGCCTGAAATTATACATTTTTATAATAGTACCAAAGGTGCTGTCGACACTGTCGACCAAATGTGCTCAGCTATATGTGTCAATCGCAAAACCAATAGATGGCCTCAATGCGTGTTTTATAATGTCTTGAACCTGTGCCTAATTAATTCATATGTCATCTATGTGTCGAACATGGTCAGAGAACGGCAAAAACCAATGAGACGTAGGAGTTTCGTCCAAAGTTTAGCCGATAAGCTCATAGAGCCATGGTTACGAGAGCGGTATAACACTGTCACTTTGAGGAGGGATATAAAAGCTAGTATTAAAGATATTTTAAAAATTGAAGATGCTACTCCTAGTACCTCTCAAGCGCAACAAAATAAGCGTAAAATATGTTCTTTTTGTCCTTACAAAAAACACAGGATGACTAAATATGTTTGCAGCCGCTGCAAGACGGCGATTTGCGGGGAACATACGGTTCCAGTGTGTGCCGACTGCCAAGAATAATTTTTTTAACCTTTTGTTTTATTATGTGGTAATTTAAAAGACATTCCATATTTTAAGTAGACTTTTTCTAAATAAATACTCTAGTTTTGATAAATATTGCGGTTTTATTTTGTTAGTTTGTAGGACTAATGTTTAGTGACAGAGTTTGAAAAAAAAAAGTTTAGTGATCTAGGGTTAAAGAAAAAGTAGTCTTTGTTAACTCCAATCAAACAAAAGTCGTATAAGAACTTAAGTATGCATGAATGTATGTATGAGTATGCTGAGAGTTGTTAGGCCGGGAGATAGTGACACAAAATAGTGGGTCATTTGTACCAGTATGACGGTTCTTCAGGGGTCTTATTACGCAATGAAAAAAAGAAAAATGATGGTCATAGCGCTCGTACCGGCGGCCCAATCGCGTGGGCGTTAGTCGAACTCGTCGGAATAATTACGAAAATCAAACGATTTGTTCCACAATAGTTCTAGTATTTTCCGATAATCCATAAAAAAATAAGAGGCGGCAGTGTCATCCCATACTTCTCCGGTGTGACTTACAGCCCGCCATACCGACGCGAATATGTATATTATTCTTAATAACCTCCCATAAGGCGGAAAAGTCTTGAACAATAACTTATATTATTATTAACGTATAATGGCGGAACCATTATACGATATTATTGTCTTTTTAGGACTATGTTGCTATATGTAAGTCGTGAGCCGATCGTATTATGTTTATCGAACCATTTCAAGAAGTGGCCAGCTAATATTGACCATAAATGTCAATAAACGATAACCTCCCGAATTAAAATTTGTACTGTAATGTTATCAAATCCCATTTCATTTATTCATATTGGTTACTACGTACGTTTTTAAAAAAAATATCGAGACATACGTGAAACATGGCAAGACCATATAAAATCCAAGTAAAAGCATCAAGCTAATAATAAGCTTCGTAATATGAACTGGCTAATAGGTAGAAGAAAAGCCGCAATCAGTCTGGAGAATAAACTTCTCATTTATAAAACTGTCATAAAACCCACTGAAGTATTTCCGAACCAATTCGACTTAGGGTCCTTCAAGAAAAGAGCGTACCAATTCTTAAAAGGCCGGCAACGCACTCGCGAGCCCTCTGGCATTGAGAGTGTCCATGGGCGGCGGTATCACTTAACATCAGGTGAGCCTCACGCCCGTTTGCCCCCCGTTCTGTAAAAAAAAACAATATGGCCCTATGGGATACAGCTTCAGAGCTATCAGATCCTATAGGGCCTATGAATCCTACAGCGGCTACAAAACAAAACACTGCTCAATATGAGCGATGCACCGTGGTTAACACGAAATGAAGTCCATAAATATTTGGGAATTACCACTGTCGAAGAAGACATTAAAATGAGACTTCAGCAACACGTCAAAGCCCTAGCTTCCGGGCCACTTGGAAACGGCGGACTGCGTGTTTCCGCTGAGAAGGGCAAGACTTGCCGCAGTTTGATAGTTTGCGAAAATCTGATATAAGCCAAGAGGCTGATTGCAGATGGTTAAAAAAAACAAAAAAATTGTTTGATTGCACCTGACGAGCATGGTAAGAGAGGCGAGGACCGTAGCAAGTGGAGATCCGTGGTTTCTGCTATCGGGACAAAGGCGTGATAATATAAATAAATATTATTATTAATAATGCTTTCCAGGATAAATACTACTAATTTACGCAAACAAAACAAATAATCTTTAGATTTATAATATTACTATAGATTCTCACATAATCACCAATCCCCTTCATGCCATTAGGGAAGCGTGTAGCATCCGGCACCAGTCTGCCATCCTTATCACGATCTTTCTCCATCCAGCAATCATCTATGCCGACATAATTATACCCCGCGGCCAGATAGCCGTCGCTCACCATTTTATCCGCTGTACGCCTTATTAAAGCTTCGCTACAAGAAAAAATACATTATTGTGATGATGTGGGAATATCTGAATTCAAAACATTCAATTTCTATTCCAAATTCCGACATATGTTGTTAAAGTACAATTGTGTGATGGTTAAATAAACTCATAACCGAGAAATCGGCAGTTTCCTTTCTTACTTCCTACCTATGTAATACATTTAAGTATGGACACTTCTGTGTATATGTGTTTATGTAGATATCAGGGAAAAATCAAAATTCAGAGTCCTTAATATTAAAGTCGGCAACATATATTTTATTGAACAATACTGAAAAATGTAGCATTTTAGTTTCTATTGCAATTAAAACGTAAACCATTAAATTGTAATTATTTCCACATCAGACATACTTATTAGTCCTAATTTCAATGGAAATTTTTAATCTAATTATTGGAAATTTAGAACAACGAAATGGTTTAATCCAATATATATTATAATTTATCAGTATAGTTTTATTATAATTTATCCTTATTAAAGAAGTATAGGATGTATTGGGTGATGAATTCACAACGCAGATCTGTTAAACGCCTGTTATAAATGTTTTAGCAATATTGATGTCGTACACAATAGTATAACAAATAATATAAGGATAAAATTAAGTATAGCTTATATTTTGTTTGTTTATATATTTTAAATGTAAAAAAACAGGCCTTAACACTTGTTTATGCTTCTTTTTAGTCAAAATTTTGTACATATTAATAAATATCAGCGAGCATTTTTTTTACATTATTTACTTAAATGATTCGAGTGCTTTTCAACAATCGTATTGACATGTTATAGAAGTCACAACGCAATGTACTACGAGTACATTAAGCACTAATTTTACTGTATTTTATATTCGGCGCCCACGAGCCTCATGGATCTAATATGTGCCGTTTCACAGTTTTATTATATTAATTAGTAAAGTTTCTTCTCAACGTTTTCCTCCTACACATAATTATTTATTATAACCGTCGACACTACTTCATTTAATATATTAATTAGCTTAGGGAACAGATAAAAACTTATACTATAAAATAGGGCCCGTCAATTGTAATAGTTATTGTCGTTGGTCTCGTTATAAATGACCACGTTTACATGAAAACATTCGAAATTCAACATCAGAGACATTCAAACGAAATCTTAAATGACATCTTATCTGGATCATGACTTTGGGAGTTATAGTTCGCGCTAAGTGTAAAAACAAAACACTAAAATCTAGATCAAAATCAGTCACTGTATCTTTGAATCTAAAGTTATGGGATATAGTATTACCTTATACATTCATCCGGGTACGTCTTGCAGTCCGTGATGCATCTAAACCGTTGCCATGTCAACCATCCCATAGGCGGGGTCAAAGCTAGTCCATTTTCCAACGCCGAGGTTACACCAAGTACGCAAAATAACAAAAGTACATACATCTGTGAAATTGATATGATTAACGAGCACTGCGATCGTATTGGTATGAAAACGTCTATAGCGTAACGATGTCCACTTTAATATGTAACCTGATTGTTATTATCAAAGTTCATTGACCTTATATTAAGATGACTATTGAAATTAAATATTAGATAAGAATCGATACTTTAAGGTGTGATTAATGGTAATAAATAATTTAACTAAATGATATCTTTTCATCAAAGCGTAAATTTTAATTTGACAAAAAAATATACGTAGTAAGTACTTTAGTGAATTGATTTTATTATTACGGATTATCTTACTTATTTATATCTATACGAAAATTTAATAAGAAACTGGAGTAATCATTACGAGGTACCTTTTCACTCTTACTACCCCCTAGTTGAATTTTTGAAGTTATACTTCGCCGACTCCTACTACCCTAGTTGAATTTTTGAAGTTATACTTCTCCGACTCTTACTACCACCCACTAGTTGAATTTTTGAAGTTATACTTCTCCGACTCCTACTACCCTAGTTGAATTTTTGAAGTTATACTTCTCCGACTCTTACTACCACCCCCTAGTTGAATTTTTGAAGTTATACTTCTCCGACTCCTACTACCCTAGTTGAATTTTTGAAGTTATACTTCTCCGACTACCACCCCTTAGTTGAATTTTTGAAGTTATACTTCGCCGACTCCTACTACCCTAGTTGAATTTTTGAAGTTATACTTCTCCGACTCTTACTACCACCCCCTAGTTGAATTTTTGAAGTTATACTTCGCCGACTCCTACTACCCTAGTTGAATTTTTGAAGTTATACTTCTCCGACTCCTACTACCCTAGTTGAATTTTTGAAGTTATACTTCCCCGACTCTTACTACCACCCCCTAGTTGAATTTTTGAAGTTATACTTCGCCGACTCCTACTACCCTAGTTGAATTTTTGAAGTTATACTTCTCCGACTCTTACTACCACCCACTAGTTGAATTTTTGAAGTTATACTTCTCCGACTCCTACTACCCTAGTTGAATTTTTGAAGGTATACTTCTCCGACTCTTACTACCACCCCCTAGTTGAATTTTTGAAGTTATACTTCTCCGACTCCTACTACCACTACCCTAGTTGAATTTTTGAAGTTATACTTCTCCGACTACCACCCCTTAGTTGAATTTTTGAAGTTATACTTCGCCGACTCCTACTACCCTAGTTGAATTTTTGAAGTTATACTTCTCCGACTCTTACTACCACCCCCTAGTTGAATTTTTGAAGTTATACTTCGCCGACTCCTACTACCCTAGTTGAATTTTTGAAGTTATACTTCTCCGACTCCTACTACCCTAGTTGAATTTTTGAAGTTATACTTCCCCGACTCTTACTACCACCCCCTAGATGAATTTTTGAAGTTATACTTCGCCGACTCCTACTACCCTAGTTGAATTTTTGAAGTTATACTTCTCCGACTCTTACTACCACCCCCTAGTTGAATTTTTGAAGTTATACTTCTCCGACTCCTACTACCCTAGTTGAATTTTTGAAGTTATACTTCTCCGACTCTTACTACCACCCCCTAGTTGAATGTTTGAAGTTATACTTCTCCGACTCCTACTACCACTACCCTAGTTGAATTTTTGAAGTTATACTTCTCCGACTCCTGCTACCCTAGTTGAATTTTTGAAGTTATACTTCCCCGACTCTTACTACCACCCCCTAGTTGAATTTTTGAAGTTATACTTCGCCGACTCCTACTACCCTAGTTGAATTTTTGAAGTTATACTTCTCCGACTCCTACTACCCTAGTTGAATTTTTGAAGTTATAATTCTCCGACTCTTACTACCACCCCCTAGTTGAATTTTTGAAGTTATATCTACTTCTCCGACTCTTAGTACCACCCCCTAGTTGAATTTTTGAAGTTATACTTCTCCGACTCCTACTACCCTAGTTTTATTTTTTTGGCGCATTAGGGTAAATTAATGAGAGTAATTTTTTACGATGCGCGCGCCGTCAAAAAAAAACCGACACCCGCTCGCCGTCACAAAAAACCGACACCCGCACGCCGTCACAAAAGCCGACACCCTGAAGTTAGCATTTTTTGTAGAATTTTTTTTTTAATGTTTAAATAAACTTTACCTAACTAGATAATGCGTTATAATAAAACTTTCAAAACCTTTTTTCTATTGTTAGTGTCGTTTTTTTTACAAAAGTAGAATAAGGCGAAAGATAAAAATTTTAAAAAGATTTATATCTTGTTACGCCAAAGAAGTATAGGTACCTAACTTCTAACGCGTGTACATATTATATAACTATGCGCGTGTATATTATATAACTATACGCATGTTTTTTTTAATGAAAACGCTGTTGGCGCGAATGGGCCTTGACGACTTGGGCTGTTTTGCCAAACTCTGCCGAAAATGGACTATTTCCTACGACCAGCACAAGGACATCATCGTCTACGAGACTGGAACTTTGGTCGCTCGTGGGGTGGTCAATCGCCAGAATGAGCAAAGTACGAAGTAAAAGACTTTGCCTTCCTTGGAAAGGCGTTTTTTTTACTCTAATCTGAATTGGCTTAACGGCTTTTAATTCGTCATTGGCTAACGTAGGAATATCTCATATCTGGGTCCGTTAAACTATGTCGAGGCCTCCTATGGGCCCTTGTTGTCGGGAAGAGGTCCCCAATTTTTTTACCCTAATCTGTTCTTGACTATTATTGTTTTCCGAGCGGGCTATTTTTAATTTGTTGTTAGCTACGGTGATTGTATCATCCGGATCTTATCAAATCTAACGAAGAGATAGCGATTGTTTTTGATAAGTACTTTTCTGACATTCCAATTTCGGATACTAAGTCTCTTGAATCATCTCCCGCCCTCGCTGAATCGCTGCTCAAAGATAATGTAAACGAGTGCAAGGTCAGTTTTACATTCCGACTCATTGGTGCCGACGATATAGTGAGGATATTTAGAACCATAGATATTAAGAACACTACCGATCTTTGGGGTATTTCTGTAAAAATTATTAGTAGCATAATTGATGTAATTGCTCCCCATCTAGCTATAATTTTCAACAATTGTATTAAAAGTGGCGAGTTTCCCGATCTAATGAAACATAGTAAAGTTATTCCATTATTTAAAGCAGGTAGTATGTCCGACCCCAGTAACTTTAGACCAATTTCCGTACTACCTACTTGTAGTAAAATATTTGAAAAAATTATATTAAATCAACTGGTAAGTCATTTTAACGTAAACAAATTATTACATAATAATCAGTTCGGTTTTACCAAGAGTCGCTCGACAGCCGATGCCGGTGTTGAGTTATATAGATATATAGTTAAGGCTTGGGAGGAGTCGCATGACGCTTTAGGTGTTTTCTGCGACTTATCCAAAGCATTTGATTGTGTCCAACACGAGACCTTAATCGGGAAACTCCGCCACTATGGCATCAAGAATACCGCACTGAATCTTCTGACTTCCTATTTACACGGAAGAACTCAGAAGGTTGAAGTGAATGGTAAGAGGTCCTCTGGGTCGGCAGTAGATATGGGGGTACCACAGGGCTCAATTCTTGGCCCTTTCCTCTTTCTTGTTTATATAAATGATCTACCTTTCATGGTAGAGAGAAAACATCAGATAGTTTTGTTTGCTGATGACACGTCCTTGATTTTTAAAATCAAACGACAAATAACAAATATTGACGATGTGAACAATGCTCTGTCTTCGATTGTCCATTGGTTTAGTATGAATAACCTTCTACTTAATGCAAAAAAGACAAAATGCATTAAATTTTGTGCAAAAAATGCAAGGGTTATGGATACTAGACCAATTATAAACGGTGAGGAATTGAATCTGGATGATACAACTGTATTTCTCGGAATCACCATGGATTCAAAACTTCAGTGGTCCCCTCATATTAACGGATTGGCGAAGAGACTTAGTTCTGCAGCCTACGCGCTAGACTTGTTTATTTTAGTTACTTTCATAGCTTAATGACTTATGTCTTATTATTATGAGGTCATGCTGCTGATGTCGAAACTATTTTCATCCTGCAAAAGAGGGCTATTCGTGCAATCTATAATTTAAAATGTAGGGAATCTCTTAGAGATAAATTCAAGGAAATTAATATACTTACCTTTCCCTCGCAATATATTTATGAAAATATTATGTATGTATACAAAAATAGTGATAAGTTTACTAGAATAGAACATACGCACAATGTTAATACACGGAACAAACGCAGGCTGCAATTTCCCCGTACTAGACTATCTAAAGTTAGTAATTCTTTTTTGGGGAAAGGGATAGTCTTCTTTAATAAAATCCCAGAGGCTCTTTTATCACTGCCTTTCAATAAATTTAAGAAATGTATTAAAGAAAAGCTGTGTAAAAAGGCTTACTATAAAGTCAACGATTATCTAGTTGATAAAAGGGCCTGGGACTAGTGCTAGACAGGCTACTTCTAATTAATTTGCGATATTTGTTTTAAATAAGTGTTGTTTGATGATTTGCTGTTTTAAAAGAGTACCGAGAGTTTTTTACGCCGGCTTTTTCTCTCGGCCTACACCCTCTGTCTTCTTTGCCGATGAGTAGGGATGCCTTCAAATTGAATGACGTGGAATAAGTGATACATGTATCTTATGTTCCATAATAAACATATTTTATTTTATTTTATCTGTTAGTACAGATCAGTTTTTGTCAGGAAGAGAGGTCCCCAGTTGGACTAGAAGTTGCATATAACCGTCCTTAACGGTTTGAATAAATTCGTTAGCGCGTTTCAGGGAAAGAACGTTATCGTACTGATGGCCACAGATTATAGGTATTGCTACAGTATCGACTGAATCGCTTAAAAGACTAACTTTTGAAATAATGGTTTTAGGACTGTAGAAGCAGTAGAAACGTCACACGACTACTAGTACTGAAGTAGTATTTAATTAAGAAAGTATTTTTCTTGGCAGTTTGACCTCTGCGCTAGTCTTATCTCAATCAGTAAGCCTCTCTTTATTGCCCTTATGTAGCAAGAATTAAAGATTCATCCCACACGTTTTAACCTTAATAAAACTTCCTACGCCTACTGTCTTTATTACGACGTATCAAAATATACTGAATAGAATCTACAAAGATATGTAGCATGTGTTATCCGTGATTTGCATAACATCATATTAACATAACATCTCACGGGAATATGTCAAAGGTATTGAAATAAAAGTGTGACATCGAGGAACAACCCTAAAGCCACGGGACAATGTTTTGTAATAAAGGGAAGATTTAGATGATTATTTCGAGTATCTACATGTTTTCTGCGATCCTGGTAATTATTGTAATTTGCGCTACGAAAATACTTTTCGTTCGATCATAATTCTAAATATTTAAAAAAAAGCATTGATTGCTTGTTCAAAGTGGACATCCAATTTTGCAAATTCTAAAACGCACTAGCAGATCTGAAAGACGTTACCTGTACACGTTTTAAATACAAAAAAATAATAATCTAAATCTATATTCTCGAATCCACACACATAATATTTCACCTAAATCGTTCCAGACATTTAAGCGGAGTTTAATTACAAACACACGTCCAGAAGATATATATAATATATAAAGATTAAGAATGTTTTAATCACAATTCCTTCGAAGTACTACCCTCATAATTCGTAACTATTTTTATTTTTACACTTAAATTATGCATCGTACTTAAACTCCAGTTATTTAAAAAAAAGAAACTGTTTTAAAATAAATTGTCAAATATATTAGCACTTACCTCTTTAGCAGAGTTTTGAAAACAACATTGAGTGTACCGCAATATATGTGTTTAGAAATGCGATAACAAGGGAATTTTTTAGGAACGCAATAGCAGTTATCTCTCTAAGTTTCCACTACTGTACGCACTGCACTCGAATTTTTAAAGTAATGTACATAAAAAGATACCGCACAAACTATTGAAGACAAATAAATTGTTAAATTTGTTGCGTACTGTTTACAAAGTGGGTTAAACTTTTGTAATTCAAAATAAAAAAATCTATAATTTTTCATGCTCTAATAATTGTCAGTATTAAAATTTTACAAGTGATTCACGAAAACACCTTGGGGGTGAGAATGTTAAATTAAAGACAAAATGAGGCGTGTTTTGTTTCATTGGAAATCATACAAAATAATTGGACCCGAGATGCTCTTGTCAAAGCAACGCCATTACTCTGTCTATGGTTTTACATTCTCACTTTAGTAATGACATAACTTGAAGATTGGATTGGAAATTGCGCGTAAAATAGAAAAAATGCACTGCGCATCTTAACTCTTTCCAGTTATGTACGTTAACATTGAATTGTGAACTGTCAAATATCAAATTGACAATTATATGTTACATATTATAAATATATTGTAGTTAGATATAATAATTATTATTATATATTAATATAATATTAATAATTATAAAGTGGCCACATTTATTCCATGGTATCTACATATAGTTTGGGCGCTGCATCTCTGAAATATGTCGTATTTTCTTTAAAAAATGGATAAATAACGGGTAAGGTACTAGGGAGTGAGACGCGTTAAATTCGCTTAACCGCAGGATGTTATGTTTTACATGCGTTGTAGAAGCATGCTGCGTGTAGTGAAGTAAATTGCTCAACTATTCATAATCACGAGCTCTCTTTATGTTCATTGTTCTAATGGCTTATGCCGGCACGGACATTGAACTCACGTACATCTGTAACAACCATGTATCTACCTAGGTATAGTAGAATAAAAATGGTGTGCTAAGTTTATCTATTTTGTAATCTACAATTAAGTAGCAAGCTTGTTTGTTTGTTGTTTTCTTTTTCCTTACTAGGCCTTGCCTCGAAGAGATCAGTTGTTAGTGATAAGGCAGCCCTTTGCATCTTAATTTGTGTTTATCTGAATTTATATGTATCATATATGTCATGCCACAAAGTATTAATAATGAAATAACGTGTTAGACGTTTTCAGCAAAATATATTTTAGTATTACTAGGTAAATATTGTTACTAAATAAATAATATTATTACTATTACAGTATATTAAAGCCTAATATGGCTGTTATGTGCTATTCTTATTCGATGATCAAAAATGTTTATTCAAATAAATTTAATCCCTGCTACAAATTTTATAGCAAACTGGCTTATGCAAAAGTTTATGATATAATTATCTAAGGCATACCATATATCTATTAAGACATGGTGGTATACACGATTTTCTACATGATTCTCCATCAAAATGTAGATTGGTTAAGCCTAATTCATATTGTGTGGGAGGACGGAACAATTTATGTGATTTTTTATTATGTTTTGGTAATAAAAGTCTTACAATAGTTTTCTATTGAAATTTTAATCCATAAGAAAAATAAATTATATAATTCGATTTAATTCTACAATATATTAAAAATATTTTAACCTAAGAAAGAAATAAAACACTAAAATTTTTATAAGTCTCTGTGGCAGTTTACGTTAATATTTTGTTTTTTACAACATATATAGAGAAAATAAGACACACTTATTAAAATAAATTAAGTGACATTAAATATTCATTTTTTTTTTTTTTTTGGGAGTTAAATTAAATATTCAACAGCCCACACACAGATTAGCTTAAACATTCCGTTAACCAATAAAGCCTTGGAGATACCCACCCGTATCAACTTTTGTGATCCAGATTGGTAACTATTTACATTAAAATTTTTATCTAAAAAAATTTTTACGATGGGGTATTATAATAAAATTTATAAAACACCTAAATGTTAGTTTTTCTCCAGTCTACATTTTAATATAAATGGTATATTAAATCAAATATTATTATAAAATTTCAGCTGATCAATTGTTATCAGAAAAAAATATTTGTAAACATTGACTTAAAGGCAATAAGTAATAAATAATAAATTTTTATTATAATTAAATTCAACCCACTGAACTTTTAAATAAATTAATAATATTGCGCAACTTTTATCACATACGCCTGACGTGAACGCATAGACCGTAGAAAGGAACGCGAGTCGCAACCAATAGTAAACAAAGACTCGTGCTGTAGTGCTGCGTTTAACGTTAATTTAAAATTACAAAAACAATCGAGCTTGCGCGTACATCGAACGTGCCTTCCTGCGATGTTTTGAATTTTCGAATATTTATTATCAACGTTTCGTGCAATGAAAAAATAATAAGAACAATATGATAATGTGAGAGTGTTTTGGCTTTCGTAATATAGAATGAGACGTGATATCGCCAACAGGAAATCCTGCAGGAAATGAAGACATACAAGTTGCGAACTTGTAGACTTTTAATTTAGTTGCCTTTCGCGAAAATCATGGGTACATCGTTTAGAGAGCTTTTTAAATTGTACGACTTGATTCAATGTGGGGAATCAAGGTGAAAAAGCGTTCTACAATTATTCTAGGATTCTTCTCATAGCTTCTTTTCTTCATAATCTAATTATTTTTGCAGTAATGTGGAGCGGTACCTGAAGGAAAATTCTATTGATTTAAATATTATATTACCATGCAAAGGTATAGGAGTTTTACATTTAGCAGTGGGCATAGAACCATTAGAGAAGTCCAAAAAAATGCACAGAAATGATCCTGAAATATGGAGGTGATCCTAATATTATGTAAGTATGATAAACATACTTTTTTATATTAATCCATTATTGTTACTTGTAGTATTTAAATATAACAAACAATTATCAATATTTGGGTGTAATAACATTAATTAAAGTAACAACTTTGTAAGTATACAGGGTTTTATTTAATTAGTTTCCATAATTATTTCTAGAAATGACGATGGACTAAGTCCGGTCCATATAGCAGCAATATGGGGCAGAGTGGAAAATCTCAAGCTTCTTATTGGTTGTGGTGGAGACCCATCTCGAAAGGATATTGATGGAATATCTGCTTTTGACTATGCAGCCAGGGAACAACAATGGGAGGTTTTTGACTATCTACGTAATGTGGTTGATGTAACAGATGACTCATTTGGATCACAATGTGCTTATACACTGGATTTAGGTAAGTTGAATTTAAAATTTAATAATTATAAATGTATAAATAGGATGAACTAAAAAAAGGAAAATTTAACTAAAATAAATTTAAAGAGTTTGGCAGTAGAAGTGTCCCTGCCTGCTTGTCCACTAATTTAATTGATATTCAAAGTTAATAAAATATTTGTAAAAAGCTTTATCTTGGCAGAAAACAAATACTGTTTATCTGTCTTCTATAAAACATCACTTATTCAAATCAATACTTTTGAAAAATATAATCTTGAACTTAATTACAATTAAATATTAACTTACAATTATTATTATAAGTGGAAATTTGTTACAATTTTTAAGCAAATTAACCAGGCACCAAAACATTCTAAAACTATTTCCCCCTTAATTAGCAAAATTTTACTTTATTGCACAAAGAATTAAATCAAGGTTCATCTAAAGAACAAAGAAAAAGCCATATATATACCATACCATACCTTGTAACCATTGACCTTGGGTCAAATTTTGTAAAATTCATCATAAGTGCTAATAAAAAAATTAACCGTTCTCTGATTAGATTAATTTAAAGGTCTGAATGAAATTAACCTTTCTCCGGAAAGGAATAATTTCTTCCACTTATTACATCTCTGAATAGAATGAGTCAGAACAGGTGCTCTCAATCAAGTTTAAATGCCTGCAGCTTGTGCCATAAGAACAATAAATAGCCAGATGTTGCAAACATGCACCTGCTAATTTCTTATACATTCCTGGTATATTTTTATTCTTGTTTATGATGAATTTTGTTTATGTTTGTTATACTCAGAGTCCCTTATAAACGGTTACTTAAGTTATATATCTAAACAATGGTAAAAAATAAGTTCACAATCAAAGTGGTATGGTGTTCTTAAAAAACAAAAATATTTTTTTAGATTTTTTATTATTAAAACTAATGATTTATTTATAAATATTAGATTTTTTATTTTTTTTATGGCAATAGTTTATCTTTTGTTCACATTTAATAAAAAATTATGTAATAAATTCCCGTGTACTGTTAAGTATTAAATATTATTAAAGGTATATAAATGCGAGACGAGAAATATATAATCGTTTGTGTATAGTCCCGAAGTGTCCACCCAAACGGAGTTGTGGGCCAAGTGACTGGTGTTTTGTTTATCTACCGTGAGAGAATAGGTATTTCGTAAGATTATGTATTCATAACACTTATAAGTATGAGTCACGATGTAGCAAAGTTTCACGAGACAACTTCCTTTGTGCAGGAATAAACACGTTATTGCGGGAAATACTGCATTCTAAAGCTTATTATAGCGTGGCATTTCGCGAAAGTTACGTATTTAGTTCACTTCCCACGGTTTCGATTTCCTAACGATAAGGAATTAAAGATAGTGTCATTAAAAGTACCTATTATCAATTCCAAACTTAACGTAACAAAAAACAGCAAATCAAATTAGTTCGTGATTCGTAAGCTGGTCCGTAGTTTAGACTGTATCTGTACCAGGTGTTTAGGGAGCGTTCAAGTATTACGTAACGAATTTTTGGAGAGGGGGGTTCTTTTATAAAACGTTACGATGCGGGGCGGGGGTTGAATTAAGCGTTACCACGTAATGGTAACTTTTAACTATAAAGAGTCACTAGGTGGTCACGAAACGTTTTACTATACTTGGGTACAGAAAAACGTAATACCTCGCGTTACATGGGGGGGTCAATAATCTCCAAAAATTGCGTGACGTAATACTTGAACGCTCCCTTAGGAACAAAACATTAAATTACGGCTGACCTTATAGAATCTGTCCAGCCCAAATAAAATCGCTGAGACCACAGATGCTAGATGTTTAAAATAAAAAAAATAATACCTCAGATTATTATGTAATACAGACGAGTTACTTGTTAAAAGTAAAATACGATATAAAATACACAAGAGGTCGTTCAACCTTCATTCGACGCCCTTCGGTTACGGTTCGATTCCCTCGAAGCAAAAAAAAATTGATTGCTTGAGTAAGGAGCACATAGGTATCATTACACGTCTCTATTTACGATAAGTTTAAAGTTACAATACACAACTAAAAACATATGATACGCACCACCACTATGTGGAACCAGCTGCCCACTGAAGTATTTCCGAACCAATTCGACTTTGGGTCCTTTAAAAAAGAGCGTACCAATTCTTAAAAGGCCAGCAACGCACTTGCGAGCCATCTTGCAATGTGAGTGTCCATGGTGGTATCACTTAACATGGTGAGACTCCTGCCCGTTTGCCTCCTATTAAATAATAAAAAAAAATAAAAGAAACATTGTGGATTACATTGAAATTAACGCTATTTATCTACAATTTATTATTTAGTTTACTTCACCTGATACGATAAATGATGAACAAAGATAAATAAACCTTATTATCTTAATATATATATTTCTTCTGTGCGTGTGTATGTGACTGAACTCCTCTCAAACGACTGGACCGATTTTGATGAAATTTTTTGTGTGTGTTCAAGGGGATCTGGGAATGGTTTAGATTCACAAATCAGCCCGGCAGATGGCACTGCAGTCGGTACTTTCATACTTTGCTTAATATCCTAATCGCTTTAAATATCATGCAGGACAACGTCTGTGGGGTCCACTAGTATACAGTATAATTATTTACTCGAAGCAAAAGAGAAACGCAAACAAAACCAAAAGCTCCGAGGAAGTTTGATTAGTGCTAACATCTATATTACACGCCTTTTGAGTTTGAGGCAAACACGTGAAGTGCTTAAATAGGGCTTCGCTGGATATGTCGCCGTAAAATTGTAAACACCGTTAGATGGTAATCTATCTCGCGAGATTGTAAACTGTCGATATATTGTGAACCTCAACGTACTGCTTACAATTTAACGTATTATTATTCGGTAGATTGTAATCTATCGAAGTAAAACCGTCAAATTGTGAAACGGATCGCACCTCGCGCGCTGATTGGTTGAACGGAATATGCCCTAAGTTTTCATTTAAACAGTGTCGTTTTATTAAAAATATATTAATTATACAGTTACACTGGGCATTTTAATTATTATTTTTTTCTACTAAGTATGTATTACATTCCTTTTCTTTCTTTTTTTGCCACTGACGCGCAATCTAGCTGCTGTGGCCTCTGGCAGAATGACCAGCGCTGTGGAACATTCTGCTCCTCAGCATAATGCTGAGCCAGGGCCAATTATAGCCACAGCACACACGCATTACACACTTGAAACGAACCGAATGGGAAAAGGGATTTTTTTATTGTTTTTGATATCTCTCATTTTATTTCTTGTTTGATTATTGTTATTTTGTGTGTTTTTATTAGTAATAAATTTATGTCTATACTAATCCTTCGTTCTATAATAAACTTATAATATAGGGAGGGGTTCCGGTTCAAACTTTCATTAATATTCAAGTCAGAGAGGCATTTTAATTAAAAGTAATAAAAATACAATTTTACAGAACACGCTTTTCGATTAGATAGATATACTAGATATGTTTCATTCACTCCGGAAAACGATGATAGGACATAGCATTTTTCTTTAGAATTTAGATGAAGAAAAGTTTTTGCATTTTCGGAACTTAGAAATAACGAACCAATCAATTTGACCGATTGACCACTTAGAATGGTGTAGGTGGAATACATTAATTAACGAACTATTAATAAGACGGCCCCCGCAAACATTGTGATTACGTTATTAGAACTTTATTATAAGACATTCGTAATATGCAATTATAAAATCTGAGAGATGTTACATATTTTAAAATTGTTGCTGGGAAAAACCAGCTTTTTGTCCTTGAAATTGGCATAAACTAAAGCGCGTTGGATGTATTTTTAAATGATTTAATTATGTGTTTTTAAATATCTGAAAATTTTTCCTTCCTTATGTTTCTCGCTTCATATTGATTCTCTAAATTTTTATACATATAATCAATATGTACATGTTAACACACACAATATTAACGAATTGGATTTTAGTAGTTTAATAAACAACAATATGATAATATGTATTAATATACACGAATTTTACTAAGCTATGTATAGTACAAACACTCGTTCGTGCCTTTCTTGGTTCAGAGGTATATTCCTAATTAATTTGTGTTATTCCAGACAAAATCCTAGTGACAACTGACCAAGTAGTGGCAGAATATGAGCCAATAACAGATGACCAGCTCAGCCGTATGAGCATACGAAAGTCTGAAATGGTTCGCGACTGGTGTGATAAAAACACTATCACTATGAATAAATTATATCCCACAATACTTAGCGAGACATACCTCTTGGACCACGAGTCTGAGCCCTGGCTTGACGATTTGACAAATGACTTAGATGACACTATCAATACATACAAGACCTGCAAATCCAAAGACATTCAAATTAGCGGCATACAGCCTCTAGAGCAAACTGTAGAGAATACACAAAGCACAGAGACAAAGCAGCGGCTCAGTGTCTATGAAAATTTCTCGTTACCGGGATCGCCGAACATAACACATATCAATTATCATACTAAAAGTAGTTTGAAGAAGAAAGATCTATTTCGTGACACCCGGGAATTGGACAAGGCAATGATAGTGGTTCAAAATAAAACAAATGAATGGCTCTCGTGCGAGGAGAAAAGAGTTTGTAATACCAGGAGATCATCAGCCAGTAGCGGTGTCAGTAGCAACTTCTCTGGAAGCATAGTGTTGGCAAATGTCCATGAAGATTTCAAATACGAAGACAAGGAAGAGGATGTTGTGCTGATTGAAAGGAGGGTCCGGGTCTCGCCTATAGTGTAAGTATTTCTGTTTTGTACTACGTTACTTCTATATTTGTGTAGTGTTGGTAGCAGTGGCGGATTTATAGATTTGCCGCCCGTAGGCTATTCAATTTTTGCCGCCTCTAAATTTTGATATCTTAGTCCACAATCATATCAATTTTCTATCAATAAAATTCCAACTTTATAATTTGTGCTCCATCATCCTCGTTACGTCAATTTTTCCCATATAGTTATTATTATTGAGAACTATGGTACCGTGTTAGATCCTTGATTATTTTTACAGCAAAGAATTATCAAAAAACATTATTTTAAGGAAAAAATATCTCAATCGAATACCACTTTTAAAGTAAGGTAAGGTATGTCTTAAAACTATACAATACTTACAAAATATGAATTAAGCTTACGTAAAAAACATACATTTGGCGAACGTTGATTAACATTTATTATTACAGTCATAGTTTAAAAACAATACAATAAATATATCTTTTATTTATTATTTGTTAGCATTATGATTTAAGTTAAATTATAAAAGCATTACAATACTTTTTTGCGAGTCTTTGAATTCGCAAAATCATTTATTATATCTTCGTACGAAATCTTGTTCATTAGCTCTGACTCTATGCACAAGAGAGCTAAAGCGTTTAGCTTTTCTTGACTTAAAGTCGATCGTAGGTAGTTCTTTACTCTCTTCAAGCAAGAGAAGCTTCTTTCACCTGAACAATTTGCCGCTGGTGTATAAAGAGCCATACGAAGTGCTATATCCAAGTTTGGATAAATGTTTCTTAGATTCTGTTCTTGCAGGAATGAAGACAGACTTATTAATGATCCATTGAATAAAAAATTGCAGCTGAGTATTGTTTTATCTTATTATAATTAATTTATTCCGATTGGCATTTTCTGAAAAAGTTGGCTTTGCGAAAAAGTTATCAAATCTACTGATGTAAACATTTTATTTAAATAATTCGTGTACGACATGAGCGCTTAAGGCCTGCTCATCTGGATTTTCCAAACTTTTTCTTACAGCAAATAAAATAATTAACTGATAAAATGTATCAGTTTTCTAATGAGCAAATTGTCTCACTTCATATTTTGTGGAGGGAATTTTTTTATTGTCAAGTCACAGTCGTTCAACTATCAGTTATTTGATTAATATGATCTCTATAAGATATTGAACTAGTTTTTTATTTAATAAAAATTAGTAAATTTTAGTCAGTATTTTTACTAGACCATCGATATTATATCGATTGAATTGGGTAAGCAGATCTCATAATTATTAGGTACACGGAGAAAAAATTATAGCAGTTATCAGTGAAGAATATATGTAAAAATTACTAAATTTCGATTATAATATCGAATCGCGATATTCTAAAAGTTTATAATCATTAATGTATAATTAGTAAAGCGTTTAGGAATTGTTCATGCAGAGATGTTGAAATATTTATTAATTAGCACTGTATATGAGAATATTTCGATTTTTGTTAAATATTTTAATTTCTCTCCAATTTTCGAAATTCGTATTATGTGTGAGTATAATAATTTTTTTTTTAATTTGTAAACCGAAATAAAAAATTTATGAACTAAATTTGCCGCCCCTTAAAATTTGCCGCCCTAGGCTTCAGCCTACTCAGCCTGCTGGTAAATCCGCCACTGGTTGGTAGGTTAATTTTAAAGTAAGACAGTGTTTATAGGCACCTAAAATTAGTAAGACAAATTTAATAGAACATAATATATAAACGACAATCGTTTATATATGATCTAATATCGTGCCAAGGCTGTACATTTTTCTCACTCTTTCTTAGTTTTATAAGCATGGCGATTTCCTAAATAGTCGGAGTTACGCCCCGAGAGTATAGCCAGACTTAGGCATTCTCTTCAACGATCACGTTGCATAGCAATTAACTAAATCATGGGAGTTACACCCCGAGAGTTTAGCCAGACGTGGGCATAAACGTTTACATTGCATTCATTCATTACTTAGCAATTAAACAAGATTGAATACCATAAGGATGACGCAAGGTCTTATGACTGAAATAAATCGCGTAAATTGCCCCCACGAACTTCGTTTCACCATTTTTTTACTTGGCCTACAGTTTTAGTAGCTACATATAGAACATTTAGCTATGTTCTATATGTCCCCATAGAGACTTCACGTTCAGAATTAAAGAAAAAGAAAACTGGATTTCAGATTTCTTCGCGAAAGTTTTCCAAATTTTCTATCCATAGAGACTTTCCTCCGAGTTCAAAGAATTAATAAAATTTAACTCGTATTGGTCCAGCGTCTTCCAACTTAGCAACGTATTTAAATTACATCTGATTCATTTTTCTAGATTTTACATAAATGTTAGGTATATTTTTGAATCTATTATTTTTTATTTAGGTTACCAATAGAGGAAGGCAACCAGACATCTCCAGACCAAACAATTCTCTCAGTGGCTTCCTCTCTTCCACCATCCATGGACTATGACACGGACACACTCAGAGCCGAATTGACAAAGCTAGGATTCAAACCTGGGCCTATACTTGAAAATACAAAAACGCTATACTTGAAGAAACTACACGCATTGAAGAAAAACCCTATAATATCCAAACGGAATGAACAAGGAAAAAGTAAGTTAATTCAAGTTTTTTTTATCTCGTGTTAAATATTAGCAACATGTTGGGACCAAAATGTCCCAAAAATGTCATTAGTTATGCCAGCGATCATACTACGTAACTATAGCGATTCGATCTCAATATTGAGCTTTCGGTTTCGATCATAATTTTCTATAATAACATTATCGAGGTTCCAAATATTTAATATGTTAAGTACTATTTTTGAAGTAAATCAATCAAAAAGGTTAAATATAATTTGAGTTTTCTGCTAATATAATTTGACAATCTGTCAGTTTTGTAATATTTTGTAAATATAATTTTAGATATATTTTATTTTTTATACATTTATTCAATGACGATAAAAAAAATAACAAGTTTTAAAGCTTTGCTTTGTTTTAAAGGTACTTTTTACAAAAAACTAAGTATTTGCACTGTTGAATGTTGATATTAGATATAAACGAAAAAACGCAGGTGATTCCAATACAAACTAGAAATATTTCATTGAGAATCAAACCCCGATTCTCAACGATAAAAAATAGTTAATTTAAAGATAAATAAATACATGTATTTTTATTATAGCATATAGCGTTGAACTAGAAAGATCTCTTCGGAACAATGATTGGATACAAAATTTATCTCCATACATAGAGTTAGAAAACAAGGCAAAAGTGGACTTTTTGAATCCGAACAAAAAGTGGAGGGAAGGCACAGCTAAGACCTCCTTTACCTACCTATTACTTGACCCACGATTGACGAACAACCTTCCAGGGCGAGCTGGTCAAATTGACCCACATACGTCGTGGGTCACATTTGTGAACTCAATATTTTATGTTGGAAAAGGTAAGTGACAAATACTGAAGATACTTTTTTTTTCTGCGGCTATTTGCTATCAGCCCTAAGGCTATGAGTGATTTTTTTCTGTTGTGCTGTCTGAAGATAATATAAGAATGTTTTTTTTTATAAGTGCGTCAGGCACACATAATTATAAGACAAACAACATTTGCAGTAATCAATTATGCACAAGACACGGAGGAATATTACAAAAACAGAAAAGAAAATATCAATTTACTCAAGTAAATTTGATTTATATGTCAAAAAAATTGTTTACTCCATTGCCCGTCGATCCACCACTGAGCGTTTTTCAAGGCTGTTTTTGCCGCGCACCACCACTAATTTCCGAGCCTTCTGTTAATGTCTGAGTGTCCATGGGCGGTATCACTTAACATCAGATGAGCCTTCTGCCCATTACATAAAAAAACTAAATATTTTACGTCCGCAAAATTTCAAAACTCTGGAAACTCTGCCGATGTTTATAACAGAATAAATATATTCGAAAAACTAGGTAAATATTTAACAATAATGAAAAAGCTATGCAGTTTTAAGTTTATCCTTGCTCTATATAGATAAAAATTATATTGAAGTTGTTACTTTAAACGATTATTGGCCCGTAGAAGTTGAGGAAATGCCAAATATATATTCATTCATATAAGGAAATAGTTTGCGTCAGGTATTTTGATTAATTCAAATGAGTTTCTCGGAATCTCAAAATTTATCAGTATGAATAAAATAATTTATAAATTGGTATGTTTATTATGTAACAATTATTATTTATGTCAAAAAGGGCCGTTCAAGTATTACGTAAGCACTATAGGGGGGAGCTTTGATTTTCTTATTTGGTGATTACATCAACAGTAATTATTTACTTTTTTACACATATTGCCCACACATTATACTCAGTATAGATACTTGAAAACGAAATGTATTTTCGAGGATTCCTTTAAAAATATAATTGCAGTACATCTGCTTACGTAATTCGAATTAAATTTATAAATATATTTCTTTTATAATTAATATGGATAAACGTTTACAGTAATTTCGACAATTTTTCCTTTGTTATTTGTGGTTTAATAATGGTCGAATGTATTGAGGACTGATTATGATATACAAGTATGTATACCTATAAACGTTTTTGATAGCTTATCAAATGAATTGTATAATTCAAGTACAATGTCAATATAAGATAATAATGATTGATAATCTTTTAGTGTTATTGTAAATATCACCTGATAACATTTTATTTTATCGATAGTTCAGAAATTAGTCATTTGTATTTTAAAATTGTTCTTTAAATTTTTTCCAGGTAAACGATCCCGCCCCTACTCGCACCTCTACCAAGCGTTGACTCTATGGAAACGCGACTTCAAACAATCCAAAGACAAGAAAGTCCAACACATTCTTGATATATGGTCAGACCAAGTAGGTGTTATATGCCTACATATATTCCAAAATGTTATCCCAGCTGAGGCGTATACATACGAAGCCTCAATGATAGATGTACTAGGGTTGCAGAACTTGAAGAATCTTAAAACTGGCAATTACTATGGAGTTGCAGCTTCATGGCCACTCAAAGAACGCCGTATGCTAGGCTTGTATTTATTGTACAAAGCTATGAATATCTTTCTGAGTGAAGGCGAAAGACAGTTGCGACCAAATGATATAGACTGATAATACACGATCTCCGCAGTACCAGTGGTATTGACAATATTAAATTTAGAGTGCAATTTCGTTATATCAATAACGACTTGTCTTATTTAAGATATGTAAACCTTCTTTTATCAATGAACTTGTTCGGAGTTTTTAGTCATAATTGATTTTCTGTGGAAAGTAAATTTGACATTTCTTCTTATTCTTTGATTAAAATTCATATTTTGAATTAAGAATGCGGCCGGAGAGTTTTATATTATCTGACTCAGTTATTTTCGGTTTTGTAATATTTTTATATTCAGTATTACGTATTATATAATAATTGTCTTGCCCTGTAATTTATATTAGTTTTAAGATATATGTACCTTTACCTGTCTTACAAATAACAGCCAAAGAAACCCTTCGACTGATTTATTGGATTAGGTTAAGAGATATTTTTAGTGTTTTTAGTGGATTGTATTTATCTTATATGTAGAATTCATTTATTACCAAAATACTTAGCATTGAGAAAATTATATTTTTAAGTTGTGATTTTTATATTCGATTAAGTCTACCATTTACTCCCTTAATGAAATTATTTCTCAGTATATTCTTAAGTTATTTATGCTTTTAGCATTAATTTATAATTCAACTAACATAAGTTACCTTTTTTATATTTCTTTTAATAATAATTTGTGATAACTAACACTCGTACATCTTTGACTAACCAAAAACCGATGTTCGCTGATTTTTGGTACTTTTTACAAAGCGTTTGCGCACACAAAAATTAATTGCTCTGTAAATAGAGGTATCTTTAGGTCTATTATGTCCTAAACACGTGAGGACCGTATTCTAAAACGCGACTCAAATCTAGCCTTCAGAATTGTCAAACCATTTCTTCTCTATGAACATTTTTGACAGCACTCAAGACAAGATTATGACTTGAGATGTTTTATGATACGAGCCTTAAATGATCTAATTTTAAGGCGTGGCTGAATGAGACATTAACTAGAATTTTAAATTATAAATTTGACTTAAAAATTATTTATAATTTCGCTATATCTTGACCAAGCTTTATATATTTGTGTTCTACGCTCAGTCGTTTTTTTTGTATAATCTGTTACGAGCTGCATCCTAGAGTTCTCTATGGTTCAAACCAGCCAGTCACTCCTTAGAATTGCTTATCTCCTAGTCACATTGCATAATATGCACGACAATCTGTATTATCAGGATTAATAAATAAAACACTATATAAGAAATAATTTATTTTTATTCCTTTTTAACGTCTCGAATTTCTTTTCTAAGAAAATCAAAATTTGCTTTAGTTACATGAAAAAAATACACAAATGTATATAATCGATACTATAATACAACGCTCTCTGTGCAACCGATTGGTACAAAATAATGAAAGCATAGACGTGCCCAATCATTAAATATTTCAGTCTATAACAATCAATGCACCGCGTTGTACGAGATCATACATTTTGAATACACGAAAATTAAATTCACATTTACTCAAATCACTGGTTAAAACATAATTTAGGCCACTAATTTATTTTCAGAAACAGGTACAAGCGTACATTGACTAAAGTTGAAATAGCGAGTGGAGCTCCACAATCGCTTCCCACACTGATGATACTACGCTTAGCGTAGGAAAGCAAAGGCAGGACAGAAATTGTATCATTAAATTGTCTAAAATCGGAAGCAATTGTAAAGCTCCCAACTATGAAATATAACTACATATTGAAATGCAAATCGGCGTGTCACAATCGCCTATTCTTAATATTACCAGTAACATTTAAACGTGCCAACAAGACAACAATGTTTCTAGGAAGAGTTAACGAACACAAGGCTGGGCCCCGGAAATTGCAAGTCGACCATAGACCAGAGAGCATAATTTTATATCTATAGGCAGTTATTGTGTTTATCTGTATTATCCAGCAGAAGGTGAGAATTAGTACGATAGCCTTTCACTGTGAGTCGAGTATAACGACTAATTAAACTATCATGAATGTTTAAAGCTTACAGGTTAACAATTACAAATCGCATTTTTGTATCACATAGGTCATTGTTCTTTACTACACCTAGCTCTATCAGAACCCCGACTGATGCAAATGGAAGACTGTTTTAACTGAATATTCAGAATAAGAATTTTATCGATAAAAATAACGTTGCAGAAAAATACAGTCCTTAACTATGGTGCACGGAAGTCATAGAACCGCTAATCCCTCGTACGAGGTATCGAACTATATATTATCATTAAAAGCCAGACATACATACGCACAGCGTCACACTCCACGGTCTATAGGATGCTCTCTACGTTAATACAATATAAATAGTCATTCATCGGGTAATTTGTGCACTCTACGACTCGATATCATCACATTGACGCCTTTAAAATTACACTAATATTAATTATACATCTAGGTATGTTTCCATTTGTTTGTGGAATGCTCATAAATAAAGATCTTAAGTTTCGGGGGCTTCAAATTTCAGTACAATGCCCGGTATTCGATGTTTTTACAATACGAAACACTAATAGGTAATTTACACGTTACACTAATATGTACAAAACTAGTTTGTGCATTCACTAGTCGAGAGAGTCTACGCACACACTGTCCTTCGGTACATCCAGAGTCAAGCACTCGGGTAACTATCAGTTCACTCACATTCAAAGCACATTTTCACACGAGATCACAGTATTTATTATGGCTATTGGCATAGATAGTTCACATGTCCATCGACTTCACTATGTTTAGTCCACTGTCACTGCTACCCGGGAGGGTAGTTGCGAAATTAGTCCAATTTGTCGCACGACTACCCTCATTTAGGGGGAGTCGGGAAGGAGTTGACGACCGCCTGCGTGCTCGCTAGCACGGCCGCTGCTGCAACACACAATCCTGTATTAGAGCGATTCTACTCATCTCTTTCCCGAATGCTATCTTTAGCGTATCGCTATACTTGCGCGGGACTGTGCCGCTTATCGGCCTGATGCTATCGAGCCCCTGCAACCAATCACACCGAGTTAGCGCCGCGAGCCACGGAAAAGAAAGCATTCGAGAAATAAACAACTCAATCCAAAAGAAGTCTCAATCAAGGTTGGGAAACGTAAAAATCAACATCTCTTTTCGTTAAAGGAAGACTATGAATTGTTTTGTAAATGATTTGAATTCACTAAGAGTAGATCAAATGCTATAAATGCGACACCTACTTGTTTGTGTTCATACCTGGATAAGGCGGAGGGTAGAGCGGGTATCCGAGCCCCACGTGGGTGTGGTGATGGGTATGGACGTGTCTCTGCGGTGGGGGGGGAGCGCGGGGACTCCTTGGGGGGCTCCGGACGAGGAGGTTTGCCCTGCGGGGATTTCGCGTGCTCTTGCAGCTCGTGAATCTTGTGAGGGGCGGAGTGGGGAGGGCCGTAGTACTGCGCCCCATGGCCGGGGGGGAAGTAAGTCCAGTTTCGAAGGCGCCCCCGGCCTGGACAGGTCTTCCGGGGCGTGGTACCGCGGGACCGTCCAACCGCCCCCGAAACCAGGGACCAGCATGGGACTCAAAGGGGCCCGATAGACGGGGTCGAAGGGTAGAGCGCCGTAATGCGGGGCTTGCATATAGGGCGGGAGGTAGTATTGGGACGTGGGCGGTGGGGGCGGCCCCTGCGTCTCTGTCGTCGGCTTCTGCCCTTCCTGTTTCACCTGCAATAATAATAAAATGATAAATGTTAAACTATACTATACAAATGCTGTTTACAGAAAAGCGGCCTTCACACGTGCAGTTCGGAATGGCATTTCTGGAACTGCGCACCAATCTGCAGATAAATCTGTGCAGACTAGACCGCGCGCTGATCTGTGCTTCTACTTTACGCTGAAATTACAATAACAGTTTGAACTGCGGTTCAAACTGTCTATTTCGGTTTCCTGCAGATAAAACTGTACGTATAAATGCTTTTCGAGAGTTTAGATCGCAGTATGGAATGGCGCGTGGAATGTCGACCAATTTGAAAAGTTTTCTTTCAGTTTTAACCGGTACAGTAGAAATGGATACACGTCTAGTGATCGCGTTAGCTGGTTTCGTGGTTGGTTTTAATAATCTAAAAAGGAGACGTGTATGGGTTAAGAAATATAGACGAAAATTTGGACATTTACCCATGTTAAAAGAAATACGAGAAAACTATCCAGAAGATTTTAAAAATTACCTAAGGATGGACGGTGATAATTTTGATTGCTTATTGGAACTTATCCGTCACAGAATTACTAAGCAAGATACAGTTATGAGAAAATGCATAACACCAGAAGAACGTCTTTCCGCAACATTAAGATATCTGGCAACTGGACGTTCATTTGAAGATTTAAATTACGGTTTGTATAAGCCGACTTATTTTTAACTTGCCATAAACATGGATGTTCCCGATATATCCTTATAAAACCTGTCACTGCTTCCACGCTCCAAACTGCCATTTTGAAATAATTGTCATCCACACGAGGTACCCGCATAAAACTGTACAAACGTTCGAACACACCAATGCGCCGCATCGAACTGTCAAACCACCACGCGCTTGTCGCGTCTACACGGACGGAATGGACGGCAGATCGGAATGGCGCGGGCTGTTTCCTACGGTTCGAACTGTACGTGTGAAGGCCGCTAAATCCTATCGTGTTATTACCAATATTAACGTCAACGATTTTATGATGACGTACTTTAAACAGAATATTGAAATAGAAAAAAAATATTATAAAAGTCAAAAATAATTTATTCATATAGGTAACACAATGTACACTTATGAACGTCAAAAAAGTATTATACATTAGATGCTTCTAATTTTACATTTAGTGCCAGTTCTCAAATCAAGGGCGTAGAACGAAACAGAAGAACTGGCAGTAAACTCTCCGCCACTCTTTTTAATCGCCAAGTTTTTTGTTTTACACAATGTTTGTAAGGAGCTGCAACCATGTTATATTATATTTTTTCATTATAGCATGAAAGTAACATATATTTTGCTAGCAAGATCGTAACTCATAGACTTAGATTCTTAAGGTAGTTAGACTAGATTAAAATGTTAATAAAAATCAAAAATTAATCAGTATTTAACATTAATATCCATTAAACAATTAGTAGCCTACCTTGACCTCCTCCTTAGGCTTGTCATCTTTGTCCTTCATCTTGTGTGCAGGCTGCGGAGGCCGCCCTCCAGGTCCTGACCCCCCACCTGGTCCTACAGACCCTGGTCCCGATTTAGAGTCACCCCCCTCTTTACGGCGCTGTTCCAAGCTCATATAGTATCTGAAAAAATAAAAACATATATACATATATAGATATTCATCTGCGTCCTCTTTTAAACATAAGAAAATGTCTATAAAGCTGAACCTGCTAAAATCAGGAAATGCTGGTTGTAATTTAAAAAAAAAAACTTGGTTTGGAATTGTCCAGCATTGTATAGAACATAAACTATGTCACTATTTTTCGTCAAATAAACGGAAATCAAAGACACGTTAAAAGTAAAAAATATGCTATATTAATATACATGTATCTAGCTCCCAAAATATGATTAACAATGATTTAATGATATGACATTATAAATATTTAAAAACGGATTTTTATTATCTTATTTACTTTAATATCTACGAATTATCTTTGAATAAATGTAAACTTGTTTGTTTACTTTTTTATTATCTAAATTACTGAAATATATTTTTTGATAAGTCCATCTTATCAGTAGCGCTCAGTTTTGCATATAATAATAATTTATTTGGAAGAATATGGTACAAAAATGTGTTGATACAATCTAAAGTACGCATATTTTGCCACACCATGGCGTGCAAATTTGTCTTAAAAGCTAGAATAGAAGTTACAATTACATTATGAGTCATAGCATTATACTCAATTCTTATATTATTTTATCACTACATCATCACATTATTAAAATATATTATTACGTTATCAAATTAATTATAATATTTCACTCAAATAATCATTAATATAATAATATTTAAATTTATTGAATGTGTCGATTTAAATCGATTTTTATAACTAGTAGGAAGATCTTTGAATGTTTTTGGTAAATTATTATAAATTTGATTGCCATACAAAAGGTTATATGGATAACACATTGAAGTTTTACTATTCGTTGTAGCTTTTTCTCCAAATCGCAAATAGTTATAAAATTTTACTCACTTCAAAAAGAATGGGTTATATTGATGAAATTCAATCTTTCAGTATGATGATATATATGTTATTTAGGCTTTAAAATTTCGTAAGTGTTGGTTCGTCTTGTTTCGTTTCAACTTTCGATAAATTACTCAGAAACTAAAAATTATAGTGATCCTTGAGTCAGGTATATTTCAAACTATGGAACAGTCTAAATTGTATAAAAATCAGTTCATTAGTGAGATATTTTTGTAGGGGACATAATATAACATAGGTACCTAGGTAAAAATAATGTTGACATGTACTTAGCTGGTTTAATTTTCATAAATATCTAATATCAATTTTTTTTATTTTCTCGTAAATTTTACGGGTGATGATGAATTAGCAATTTCGCCTTAGCTAGCAAGCCATAAATTAAGTATTAACCAAGTTTATGACAAAGTTAAAGGTAGAGTTTGTTAAGAGAGGAATCATGAATCTCATTGAACAGTAGAAAATGACATTATCCCTAAATTTCAATTAACTAGTGACAATATTCTGATTTCATAAGCAAATTGAGTAGTAAAATTACCTTCTCAATTCCTCTTCTCTCGCGTGAGGTGGCCTCTGGAAGGCATAGGGACCCATTTGGTTTTTCATCTCAATGCTCTCTTTCAGTATCTGATGCGTATCATTGGGCCTGGGAGGCTCTTTCCCATCCGGTCGAGGCTTGCTTTTGTCCAGAGGGCTAGGTGTGGTCTTGGACCTGTCCATGTCTTTTCCCTTGTCATCTAGAGGGGGTCCTGGCGGCGGGCCCGTTTCTACGTTGTATGGAAAATTCGGGACGTAGTTGTAAGGATAGAAGTGCTGCGGAAGTACTTTTTGCTGACCGCTTTCTGGTTTTCCGTCCTGAAAAGTTAAGACAAGAATAACAGGATTGTAGAATTAGAAAGGGATACACTATTGCGTTTATTATATGCGATATTTTTTTTTCAATTGTATTGGAGGATATACAGTGTCACATACTTTTCTTGGCCGGTAAGAGCGTCGCTGTCATGAATGAATGTCATTAGTATTGCCAGTACTACTATCTAGAAAATACAGTTCTAGGCCTAAACACATATGACTCAAACTTAGGAACAATTACTAATATGATAGGTTTTGTTACGTGTACTATTAATATAATATCTTTTAAGACACCTAGCAATCAGAACCGTTCGATAATTAAAACTTTTGCCATTGTAATTAATGCAAGGAATAAAAAGAAATATATTTTACTTGGATTTTTATTACATATTGGTAGATAGTAAAATAATTTATTGTACGCACCAAGAAAAAACAGAAAATAAACACAAACATTAGAAAATGGCGACCGTAGTTCCAATTTCAGCCGCCGGCTAAAAAAAGTATGTGCAACACGTGTGCAATGACGTAATTTTAATACATAAAGGAGCTTTACCTTGTGATCAACTTTAGGGTCTCCCTTACTAAGGTCTTCCTTGCCTTTATCCGAGTTGGGAGGCGGCGGCTGGTTCGCTGGGTGCGTAGGGGGCAGATACGGCGGCTGACCATAGTACTGGAATGTAAATTATAAATTTAGCTTTTTTTATCTCGAGATGTTCCTGTCCAAGAAGACAACATACACTTACTTTTACAGCTGTAAAATATGATATTTGCATTGCAATAAATTTTCTAGTTACATGGAGAACATAAGCGATAAGTACCTGATGGAACACTGGGAAGGGTCGATGCTGAGGTTCATTTTCAGGCGCTCCCTCTGTAGGGGCGTTGTCATCTGATATGTCTGAATAGGCCGGGGATCGGACCCCAGGTGTCGGGGACCGGCGAGCCCGCCGCTTTCCTGGGGACTCATCTGGAGGAGACTCGGTGGATTTTCGTTCATCTGAAGGCATCAGGGCTGATCGTGGTTTTACCTGTAATCGTGAGATTAAGATAAGTAAGGAATTCATGATTATTTATTTTAATTTGAGATACATTGAAATACTCGCACAAATCAACCAACCTTGAACTGGGTAGGCTGCAAGGGTAAAGTCTCAGGTGGCGGAGTGGCCGGGGCGGGCGGTGTCTGAGGCGGTTCCACCGGAGGGGTGGGCTCTGGTGTCGCCGCGAACTCCTCGAACCGAGGTTGAGGCGGTGATTCTACAGGTTCCGCCTTTTCCGGAGATTTCTCCTCACTCTTATCACTTTTCTCCTCTGGAGACTTGGTCGGGGTAGGGGATTTGACAGGCGTGGCCGGGGTCGCCGGATCCGAAGGCGGCCGGGCCGGGGAACCAGGTTCTGGTGTGGGTTCTTCCTGTTCAGAACTTGAACCATCTTTGTCTTCGTCATCAGGAGTCCCGTGCGCGTGTGACCGGTGGTATTTAAGGCCGTTCGCGTGTTTGTACTTTTTGGAGCAATTCGGTTCAGGACATTCAAGGAGAACTGGGTCCGGTGGGGGTGATGAGGGGGTTGGTGGGGGTCTTTTCGCCTTGGGAGTGGGGGGTCTTTCCTCTGCCTCTGAGTTGCGTTTTCTCTTAGAGTCTGGTCGTGGGGGAGTGAAGGGCGTGGGAGATGGGAGGGCCCGCCGTCCCTTTGCCCCACCATTTCGCAGTTTGCTGTGAACCGACGAACGGGTTTCTGTGAAGTTTGTCATATCTGTGGGGTTTGCACCGCGGCCACGTTTTGCGCGACCTTTTGGTGTCCGCGCGTCTAACTCCTCAGTCGGTGAGTCGCAGAATCTGTAAATTAATATTTTGTATATGAAATCAAAACGTAAAGTAGGTAGGGCTATGAAAGGGGATGAGGAAAGCTTCTTGTCCTTGAAGTACCTAATAATTCTGAATATATTGAAATATTTTGTGAGTTAATCCATAGTTACAAGATTTTACAAAGAACAAAAAATTATTATTGCATGTCGTCTTAGTTTAGACTTGACTGACTGAGTATATAAATATACAAGTATCAGGAACATATAAGTGTATAGGCATTACCTCGGCGGTGCCCAGTCATGTCTCGTGCAGTCGAGCAGTGTGCCCACGTAAGTCTTTCCTCGCCATGTGACATTCACCACAAGCACTCCTGTAGACAATAAAACTTATTATAGCACATGGTTTTAACTTCTAAACTGAACAAAAAAGAGATTCCTAAACCGTGCGGAATGCGGTGTCCGTGTCTTGACATGTAATGATTCATAATCATTATAGAAAACATCTTTGCTTAATCAATCCACAATCTGAGGCATTGTTTCCCAACGTGGGACCAACGCCCCACAGGTGGGCCAATTTATTGTTAAGGGGCGCTGAAATGGGCGAAAAGGGGCGAAAAAATGTATTACAATTATTTGGAATTTGAATTTAAGTTTTTCATAATGTTTTGAAAACAACTGTTTTCGGTAACAATTTCCTAAAACCTTAATTTAAGTTTCTAGAGTGAACAAAACATATTTTAATAGGCATAAGAATTTAAGAAAGGGTAACACACAACAACATACTTTAAATTGTACTCCGTGTAGTGAATAGAATTGTTAACAAATTTACAAGTTTATACTCAGTCACCTCGTTCAAAGCATTTTTTTTATTATTATCAATTTAATAATGAGTTGGAAGTATCGACATCCCTAAGCGCTTTTATTAAATTAGCATAGTAAAATGAAACTACCTCGTTTTTGAAGTACCAAACAAAATCTCTGAGAGACTAGCGTTTGTGGTATCTGTTTATATACATTTTAGACTTCCTCGTAAAGGAAAACATTGTGTGAACTAATTTTCTCAATAAGGACGGAAATAGAAGACCTGGAGAAAATTCAAAAGCGATAAAATACATCGACTTTCTATGAATATACAAGATCTACAAAATGGAAGTTAGAAGCTATTGGAGCTCGGTTCTGATCCAATTTGTCACGAGCCTCATTTGCATAGACGCCCCTTGCCTCAGAACGTGACTTTAGCCGCATAGAAGGCGCGTTACCCGCCCGGGCTTATCGCTAGCGTGCTAACTTATGCTAATTTAATTAATCAATTTAACTCGCCTTAGCTCGCAATTTTTAAAACGTATTTTTTTTTATCTATACGATGATGTCGCATAAGCCTTGATGTAATTTTTAAATACCAGGGGATTATCACGCACTTGGGACCTCATGATAATTATGGTTAGACATAGTTTTTGCTTTTGATTGCAAGTCATTCGACGAGCACAGAGTGTCGAACTTAAAATTCGAAATTTAAGCTATCCATTTTCAAACTTAACACTATTCCGAACTATGGCCTACGTAATAATTCCTTCAACTACTTTAAACATTCATATTAATATAGTATTTATTAATGTTTCAAAGTGAAGATTAAATTTAAATTAAACATGGGTAGCAAATCTCCTAAGTAGTTTATAACATGTTTAGCCTTTAAAGACCCTATATTAATAAACCGTAAGAAATAAAATGGTGTCAGTATAATCCTCTTAATCTTTAAGGGACGATGTAAAGCTTTTGATATTTTAAAAATGTTTAATAACACGACAGCGGTTATTAAAGTATGAAAATGGGCGTAGCGGGATAGGGTGGCAGCCGGGCCAAATTTTTTGGTCGCCTTCTAGGTTACCCCTTGGGCCCCTTACAGTTACTAGAGCAACATAAACTCTAATGGAATATAAAATAAATATGTCAGAGGAAAAAAAGGGAGGCCAAATAAAGATAGAGTGATTGTTTAAATATGCATCACTTTCTATGTAATGGGTAGAAAGTGGGAGAGAATGAGAAGGCGGATTTTAAGGGTGTGGTGCGTAAGGGATCGGTGCAAAGTGTTGCTGTGTAAAAAAAGAATATGAGATCAAAATTCTCAGAAGTTTTCTACTTAAATTTTTATAACGAAAAATACATAGCATATGCACGATGCTTTGTACAATATTATTTATCATATTATTATAATCTACAAAATATCTATTTATAACATGCACTAACTACATACCTACTATCTATTTCAACTAGTTCGAGACTACATTAAAAAACCTTACCGATGTTTATTGTTAGGTGCCATAAATAATATTAATGCGGAAAACAGGAAATCAGTTAGTTGATTAGTTTGTCGTCGATAATTAAAGCGTGGGCCAATGTCATTGAATTTTCATAAAACTATTTTCAATAAAAAAAACTACTAGGTATGTATAAAAACTATTTCACTGTTTAGCAGTATCATGACTAACAAAAGTCAGTTTATTAATTAAACTACGAATATCAAAAATTACATGAATAACTCACGCTCAACGTCTAAACATTTATTACACTAATCAATTTGTGGAAAAATAAATCTTAACTAAAACGGAGACTTGGTTTAGTAGTGGTTCGCGTGCAACGTCTCAATAATTCTCAAACATCATTTATTGTTCCACGAACAATGGACACATAAAGCATTTCTATGAGCTATTAGCATAAAATGAGCGAGTTATATTGTACGAGATAAATCAATGGACATGAAAATGATAGATGAATTAAATTGTCAAAGATTCACTGGACGGTTCACCGCAGATGGTTTCAACTTAAATGGGATGGCTACTACTGGGTATTTGAGATAATATAACGATATTGAAGACATTTTTGTTTTTCGAGCATTCATTTGTTTCCGATTAACGCCACCTGCAGTATGGTTGATTCCCCCTCCCCTCTTATTAGCAAAAGTAAGTATAGCTCTCTAAAATAATAGTTCATAAACGTATTAATTTTTGTATGAACCCTTGAAAATGCATTTCGTTTTCAAGCATAGACAATGTGTGGGTAAAAAAGTAAATCATTACTGTTGACGTAATCACCAAATAAGAAAATTAAAGACCCCCCTCCCCCATATAGTAGTGCTTACGATTACGTACGTTATGCAACCCGGATATTAACTTGAACAGCCCCCTATCCGGGTTGCATAAATCTTAAGGGCAATGAAAGACAGATAATATATATATATGTCTAACTAAATGCTATGGCGAACAAAATTTACTATGAGAAATTTTTATAACTATAATTATACTATGACGAAGATTAAGGACCATGACTGCCACACCTGCAGTGTTCATTTACAAACCAAGCCACTAACCGCATAAAAATAGTATTCCTGCGTTTTCTATTAAGAGAGTTTCAATAGTGTCTGCCTCTTTAACTGTTGTTTATATTGCTTATAAAATATGTTTTTTTTTGGATCGGAATTCATCTTATGTTTATAACAAAAATTTCAAAACAACAGAAAAAAATACATCCTACGAAAAATCGCATTAATTATCCTCAGATACGCGGACTTCAAACAAACTGTAATAGAAAGTCAGTAAGTAAAATGTCGCCATTTTTTTGTATTAAGGGATCTAATGATTTAGTATTGATTTTTTTTACAGATTTAAACCCCTGTAGATTAAAAACGCAGCAACGTACGTACTTAAATTATTAGAAAAATTTTGTGGTACTGTTCCGAATTTTAATTTCTATCAATACGAAATACGACCAAATAAATCTATACTTAAATGCTCGCCAGCTCCCTAGTTAATACAAAGTAACATAATTATATAATATTTCCAAACTAACTAAACCTTTCAATTTAGTAGGGTAACTTACGGGTTAAAACGGGCCCCACTCTCAGCAAAGTTAAATTAAAGGGCGGGCGCCCTTTTCTTTTGTTTCGTATATGTTAAATCTTATTTGCACCCTTGTCACTAGTGCGGAAAACTTTTGGGCCTCTAGTAAAATTAGATTTGCTGTGAAAATAGCGAAAACTTCACACACAATTCTTTTAAATGCCTTTTTTAAATCATACTTATTATTATGATTAATTTGTGTTTAAAATGTTAAATGCGCACCAGGAGATCAGAATTCGAAGAAGTTGTAAGCTACGCGTAGCAGAAGGCTAAGCAACGTGTTAATTATCTGCCGTAATCAAGTGGCAAAGGTAAACGGGGAAATTAATTATTATTCAACTCCTTTTTGTTATAAGACCTTTGTATATTATATACTTTATAATACAAAAACAACAAACATATTGTATTGTTTTATTCATTAACCTTAACTAACTGTACGGATATATTTAATTGTCAGTTTTAAAAGCGATAACTTCATTTTGGCTATTATCATTGTTAAAGGTCTGATACATTGCCACAATGTACGAAGGATGATGTAAACTGTTAAAACTTTATATTCAGCACACAGTTTCAACTCAATTAGAATAATTAATTAACAAGGCGTACCAACAACATGAAGTTCCATAGTAATTACAAGTGCAATTTGTATTCCGTGAATCTTTCTTTGTAGCGGAAACGTTAGCATAAAAAACTCATTAGCACAATTTAAACGCATTTCCAACGAACTTTGTTAATCGATAAATCTGAATTAAAAGTGGAACCATCCGTATAAGGTTGTAACTTTCAATACATAAATTCTAATACACGTTTTGCACATTTATAGTGGACGTGAGACTATCGAAACACAGTTGCACGCAATGCTTACGGTCTTATATGGGAGATGGTATACATATTCTGTGAACAATGTTGTTTATTTTATCTGTGGCTAGTCGGTTTGTTTTGAATTTCGAAATTCGAACTTGTGATTATTGTAGAATGTATCCAGTAATCTCGAAAGTGAATCTGTGAAAGAAATGTAAATATGAACATTTCCGTAAATGTCAAAGTCAAAGTCAAATCATTTATTTCAATTAGACTATCTAAAATGGCACTTTTGAACGTCAAAAAAAATACAAAGAAGATTCTAGTTGCCCCTTCCAAAAGGTAGTTTCATGTGGAGAAGAATGGGCAAGAAACTCCACACTTACTCTTTTTAAAATAGGTTTACAATATTTTGTTACATTTGTTAAATAATTATATGTGAAGACAATGTACTCTTAGAATAAACTACTATACTAAAAAAGTTAGTATACATGTTCCTCACATATTTACAAATATCGAAACGAAAAATATTAAAAAAACACAACAAAACAGTGTGTGAGATACAATAAAATAATTACATTTGTAGCATTATAAATTAAAAAAAAGAAGATGTTCCTTTATGTAGGATGTCTGTGCAGGATATTGGATCAATATTGAGCTCGAGTCCACAAATAAAGGCGGCGGCTTTGAGGCTCATCTGGAACTCATCAAGAATTCCACGACATTAAGCCGACGCATGCTCTCCCCTAATTACGAGAACATGTGATGGCACCGATAACAATTATTCCACTATAAAAGTTTATTAACGCGTCTAAACGGTTTTATAAATTGTGCTGTGTAGTCTGGAGATGCGATTAAGGAAATAAAATGTAAATGAGTATGAAAGATATCGTTATCCGAGTAGTTAGTATAAACCCGTTAAGTTGAGAGCTTTGCCCGGGGCGGCTATTTTAATTAACTTTGTGGACGAGCTTTTAAGAGTGTAAAGTTTGCTTTGCCGCTGAATGGATGTAAATGAAATGGTCGGAAGTTTGTTCGGTGTGGGAAACAATGGGCAGGTCTGATTAGAGCCGGCCGACGCCCACTCAGTTTGTATAATAATCCTTAGAGCACAATGCTATTAAAATGTATTCCTAACACACACTTAGTTCTACTGTGTTCTTGTTAACACAGACAAAGTCATCTTTATATAACATACATATATAATATCCTCAGTATTTACCTCAGTATTTGTAACTGAAGCTTTAGTTCAAAATATATGAAGTACCAGGAAATTATGTTACTCTGAAGATGTTTGTAAGAACAAACAAAGGATATTATTATAGCAATAGCTCGTTGTATGAGAGATTCAATAGGTTAGCATCGCCTTTGTTCCTGCTCCCTAAACAAATGCTTATTGCTTTCGAGTGCATCGCATTTTTCACTCCAACTGAATGATAGCGCCAAGAATGCTTCGCCTTTGTATACAACAAAAATTTTCTATGCAATTTTTCACCATATTTCAACTGTCTATTAAATCTATGTTATCTTAATAAAAGATTTATGTAATAACAGTTTCTTTATAAACGTGTACATTTTGTTTAAAAAACCTTAATATAGTTAAAGCTACCTTAGTTTAATTTGGGAAGTGGCAACAGAAAGCAGATGGTGATTTATTATAGCTTTCATAATTACACAGAGGCATTGTTTACGATCCCTAATGGCTACCACACAATTTTCATAAATTGTTCACGCCAAAAGCGACCGTATTTATAACGTACGAAAACCGTTTCGTATATTTCTATTATATGCGTGATGTATTGTTCGTCGATGGGTATTAAATCGAGCTTCATTGATAGTTTTGGACGTGAAGATTTATCTTTACCAATTATGACGTCTATTGAGAAATATATATCTTAAGATTACTTGAGTTATAACAAAAAACGTCAGGACGGTTCATTTTAATAAAAGATTATTTACAAAGATTATACTTCATTAGTGTTCGACTTAATTCGCTTTTTATAAAACTCTAGTACCTATTGCAAAGCTAGTAGTAGCTAGCTTTTATTTTAAATAACATCAAAGACTGTAAAAGTTATATAAAAAGCCTGTTATATCGTGCTGCGAAAAGTTTGCCAGGCAACAAAGAGAAGACGTCAAAGTGTTGACCTGATTACTTGTAAGAGCCTTATGCAGTTTAAAAGCGCGCTTTAATTTTCCAAGAAAAATGTTGCTTTCTTTCATACTGAAATACTAAGTGGCAACTTATACTAAAACTAACCTAAAAATTTTTAATTTTTATTTTAAATTTTAAGATTCATAACGATAGTTATACCTACTTTTTGTTATAATTACGATTAAATTTAAATACATTGCATACAATATTTCATACGTGCTTTCTTTCTTCCCAAGAGATCGACGAGAATAAGATAAATAAATGATCTGATTTATTTATATCATCATCGTAATTTTTATTTAGCACTTAAACATAGGTTAACTAACCGTTACTTACGAGATGGATACTAGGATAACATAAACGTGTAAGAGCCATGGCTTAATAGGTTTATTAAAATTCAGTGATGCGACGCCCTGCGTTGAGCGTCGCATAATTATATGGCCATTCTCATTGACTCTGTTTTATGTATGTCATGAATAAATTATTTCATGACAGATGTAGATATAACAGTCACTTATACACGATTTAAATTATTTTTGTTCGTAAATTTAGCTTGCTATATAAAATGTATATTTATTCAAAAATACAACTTTTATATTTTTTGCCAAGCCACCATTTTCTTTATTCATTTGGTGTGCATAATTGGATAAATTCATAATTAAAAATCAAGACATTGTTTGTTATATTGTTTTAATTAGTGTCATGACGGTTCAATTAAATGGTCATAAGGTGTTATTAGCTTAAGTTTTAATCTATGTTATTATTACGTAAATATACTAGTTTAATTGATGTTTTTTCATCATTCAATTCAATCCGAGTAAGATAGGTTCTTGTTTACGATGACTTTTCACAAACATTAAAACAAGGTATTACTTTGAAAAGATACTTATTTTTTTTATATGTTCGTCATTTTATAGTAAAAGCGGTAACTTTAACGGCACTCATTTGCCGTCACGACTATTTTAAATGAAAGTTTCACGGTTATTAATTTCCACGCCGCTAATAGTACCCTTTAGCGAAAATAGCAAAAAGGCCAGGTGTGCCCTTATTTATTACTGATACGAATAATTATGACAAATTAGGGGTTACAAATGGTCACGGACGTTTAACCCCTTACTGAAAACATCCAAATTATACTTATTATTGTGTATATGGGGTTTGATTTAAGATTGTTCTTCGGATCTATTCGTCAAAATTATAAAATAAGTTTTATTTTTTTTTTAGTCGCATCGTATTAAGGTAACCCAACCCAGGACTGAGTAACCAAGTGAGGAATTCAGATAAACATCATTGGACATTCCTTGCCTACCATATTTTTTTGATATCATTATAAAAATGTTGTGACGCAATTTTGTTCAAAATGTTATTTCTAAAAGGTTCTATTTTAATTTCTAATTACTTACTGTAAAGCCTTTCAGATATTCATGTCTATTTTACGTTACACGTTTTTTTTACTTTTCTACGATACTTCGTTAAGAATTAATTAACGGGGTGGGACTGCAGTAATGAGGAACAGCGCTGAGCATAATTTGTTTATTTAATGATGCTCGAAGTTTAAAATATTTTTATACTAACATTTTAATAATTTGTTGCAATATCCGTTTTATTTGGAATTTTTTATAGGAATGAAGAGTTAATTTAGATTTTTAAAAACATAGTTTGTTTTTGTTTGTATTTATACAAATACTTTTTATTGGACTTCGAGAAATCCGTCAAGGTAATTTTTATTAATTACGTTTTTCTTTTGGTGGTCTTGGGCAAGGAAAGGGTGGGGTGGCCCCGATGGTAAAGAGAAAGATTTGCAATAAGCGGGAACAAATACTAGGCGTGCAGAAGCGTGCTGGAAGTAATGAGGCGCTACGGTGCGTTCGTGCGCTAGTAACAAACTCACCACCTTCCGTTTCGTGCCACACGATGCCCTCCAGCGTGACCGATGTACCAGGCTCGCATGGGCCCAGGCAGTCTGGTTCGGTGATCGTCCCCACCGATGTGCCTACACACACTTCCGCAGTCTCCTGGAAATAAAGACATTTTTAAATTACACAATTTCTAAATAACGTAATGGTTTAGATATGACGTACTAACATAATAAATAAATACTTAATTCAGTTGAACCGAACAAATTTGTTACTAGTAAGAAAATATATATGTATTTTATTTCTAAAGAACATTGGCCATTAGAAATTACTAGTATATCTTGTTAATTGCAATGGCATCTTTATTGCTTCCTGTTAAGGTTTATTATACAATGGGCAATAATCTATTCATAGTGTTTTGAATTTGTACATGCTATGAAGTAAATTAAAACTCACGTATTTAGACCGAAAATCCTTTTACTGTACACTCACATTTAAAACATAAAAGTTCTTAATAATTCAGTTCAAAGCAATATAAAGCTAACACGTAATAACGTTCTCATAAACGCGACATAAAAGTGTATTTTTACTCCAAAGTACATTACTGAAAAATAAATTTTATAGTCCGAGCCGAGTTTAAACTAAACAGATACAAATATTTTTTTTGTAAAGTCATTAATCGCAGCACTTTTAAAATGGTTGTTTACTAAATAAAATGCGAATGCGTATTTAGGATGCCTGGAACTTCTTTTAGGAATGTTTGTATGTCCATTTATGTTCTTCTTGCAACGTTATTTCTTATCTAGATATTATAGTATATAATAGATAAATAAAATAATTACTAAAAAAACTACTAATTATATAAAATATCTTATCTAATAAATATTATAACATAACAATAATAAAGAAATAGCATATTATTAAGAAAGTTATACAGTGTAAACTCTATATAAAGACACTGAAGGGACTGTATATTATAGCGTTATAGAGAGTATCGTTAAATGGAGAGAAGAAAAATCAGTACCGTAATTCGTTCCTTGGAAAGCTTTCTTTCCACACACTTTTCCCCTTTACATTTCAGAGTTTTATCTGGCATCAACTTATAGAAAATTCCTGCTTCAACAGCGCTGAAAATCTCACTGTTCTGTGAATTTTGAACACACTCTATTAATCCAATCATAAGTCACATTCGTATCACTTCGTGCTTTCCCACTTATTTTACCATAGTTGATATGATGACGTTGCTTGAATTTTCCGAGCCATCCTTCTGATGCTTTAAAAGAAGTAAAACCAAGTTCTTCAGCAAAATTAGCTGCCTTAGCTTTTAGCTTTACGAGCGGCCCCGAGATAGGTCTATTATTCTGGCGCTGTCGGTGAAACCATAGTATAGCGTGATCCAAATCTTCGTATTTAGGGTTCTTTAATTTTTTGGAAGATTTCCCCTCGCCCGCAGCTTGGAGAATTATTTCTTTGTTTTTCCATATTGTGGACAGGGTAGAGCGACTAAATCCAAAGCGTTTGCCAACATCACTTATCTTCTCTGCCGTTTCTATTGCGCGTATCAGTAAAACTTTTTCATCAATACAGTGATTTTCTTTTACTAGCCATGTTTACACTTTGAAAGTTTGCGAGCGTCTAAGAATATGATATATTATAGGTGACTTCTACTAAGTCAACAGAATGTATTTCTAAGAAAGTTCGTATGCATCATCATGCACCGACAATAGAGTTTATTGCGGGATAATAAAGCGACAAAATAACGTACACAGCTTCGCAGTTTTTACTAATTTTAGCAACTAAAAAGTACTTTATTACTCAATTGTTGTCGTTATTGAGAGTGGGTGATTTATTGTCTTAGCCCTAATAAACTCGTCTATCGGAATCATACTTACCGAACTTTCTATGATATCTGTTCTTTTGTTTCCAAATTGGAATTGCTTGCACGTGAAGACAGACTTGTTAGTAGGAGTAATCTATACTTTATCTTAGATGCTCACCAACTTTCAGGTGCAGCTAATGACGTCAAGCGAAAATAACAGACTATACGCAATAGCGTTCAAATAAGAATTGATTTTTATATAATTACTAACACTAGTCTGAAATAAAAGTAATGGAGATTTTTCTTCTTTCCATTTAACGATAACTCTTTGTAACGTCAAAATATGCATAGTCCCTTGAGTGTCCTTATATCGAGTTTACACTGTATATAATATAATAAATATAATATAACTTTATTAAGAAAGATATGTTCGTATTAGATAGAATAGGAAAGTATAACACGATAGGAGTTAACTCCTAAAAGCAAAGTAAAATATTATATACATTTTAACTGATTTTTAAAAGTTGTGTCCAATTAACCATCGTAATAATATAATTAATAGTTCAGTAATCAGTTTATAATAATGATATATTGATTTTTAATTTTCACTTCACAGTAATACAACAGTAAAATAATACTTTAACTAATAAAAACATTGTTTTTGCTATGTCTAATGCTCTTCTAGCCAATCGTTAGCGGAAAAATGCAGTCTAGCAAAAAATACAAGCCATTACGAACTTTAAACCTCACTCAACTATTAAATAGCTATCCATTCACAGTATTAAATGGTATTTGTGTCCATTTGCTTTATAAAATCGCTTGCAAATTTTGTTATACCGAAAATAGCAAATTATACGTATGACTTGCAAGAGATGCGTTTTGAATATGTTAAATGATATCCTAGTATTTTATAATGAGCATAACTTTGATATTATGGCACTAAAAATATTGATTTGCGGGTTTTCCTGACATTTATTTTACTAAAAACTAAATTGTTTTAATAACAGGGTTATAGCAATTATCTATCTCTTTTCATCACAGCTTAGCATTAGTTACAGAAAGAGAGAGGAATATTGTTGTTACAAGTGTTCTTAGACTGATATATTCATTTGACATATTTGAGTCGTTCAATTTGTCAATTGGCAATATCAAGCATTACGCTGTCGGCATCCCAGTGATTCCGCGTGGAATAGCGGAATAAACGTTCCACGATATAAACAAGATGCCGGTATTTATTGCCTTGGCACGCCACAGGCCACCATAAACGCGAGCACTAAACGTGCCGTTTGCCTAAATTATTTTAATGATCCGGGAATCAAGTTGAATACGTGTTCAATTTATGTACACTGTAAAATACACGTTAACACAACGCAATAAGGCTATTTGCAAGATTTGATGTCTCATCCAAAAATCTATATTGATTTTTATGTCATTTGACACAAAACGGCCACATTATTCGAATCGATGATAGCGAATCGAGCATGAAAATAATATGTTTAATGCCGTCTTGGGAGTATAATTTCGCGGGAGACAGTAATCGAAATATAATTAGCGCTAATTGATAAGTAACAAGTAAAAAATGACATTAGTTTGGGCATGGTAAGTCACAGCCGACGCCATCTTGTCTAACGAAGCGTCTTGGCAGGTTTAAATTAAGATTGTCGAATTAAATTTTTAATTAAAAATAACAATTTGAATAGGTCCCTTTAATCAATTACTCCATATAATAATTCTGTGGTTTACATTTCTAAGTATTAGTAGTTGTGTTAGCATAAGTTCTAAAAATTATTAAAGTTTTGTTTTGTTAGTGTGTATTTGCCATTTCTCTTTGTCTTTCCATATTACGTCCGTCCATCTCTTTCCAGGATAGGTCCTAGTCACTTATAAATAATCATAAATTAATAGCCTATTAGGCAGACTTATTAGCACGGTAGCATTCCAATTCCATTTGGATTCCAATCCGTTTAAAGGTACCCTTTAGCTGGAATATCTCCTACCGCAATTTGTCGCGGTCTATAGCCCCGCGTAAATTACACGTATTATGAGTCAGAGGTCGGAGACATCGTTGCGACTCATTTGCTATGTAGGTGTCTCCCGCTTTCCATTTGAGGCCCAACTGCAATGTCTCACGATGGGATTTAGATGTCAAACGAATCTGTTCCATTACTGATTTGAATCACCAATCGCTACATCGCTAAATCACCTGAATCATCACTCCCTCACGTAGATACACACACACTATCACACAGCCGGATTAGGTATTACGTATTTAATATTTTTATTGTTTTTTTCCTTTCGTAAATAGTCAAACCTATTTGTATATACATAATATCTTTAGCTATATGTTTAGTTTAATTGTTTTTTTATTTTATATAGTTGTAGGATTACGTTTTTGTTCATGAACATAGGACGAAAATCGAATTATATCTGATAATATGTGAAAGTTGTTTTGTTTAATTATTAAAAAGATTAACTTTAAAAAATGCTAAAAAGAATTTAAGATTGATATTTATTGGGTATGGGGCAGCTGACGGAAGCCCTAAAATACACCAGTATTTTATGTGGGATCATCAAATCCTTGACAATTAAAAAGTGGCGGAATTCTTTTCGTCTACGCCTTTAGTAAAATTATTCATGTAAATTGTTTTATGAAGTTCATGTACAAATACATACTTAACATTGACTTTATAAGAACAAAACAAAACGCATAATTAATAACATAATGAAATATTAATTAAAACACAAAAAGATTGCTTACATGACTTTATCAAAGGCTTACGTAATCGCATAATTCTTTAAACTTACAGACAGGGTTATCGGTCACGTGAAATTTATTGTGAAATATCAATTATAGACTCAATAAATCGGATAGCTCAACCCTCGTAGCTCCCCTTAAAACCATAAAGGATTTAATAGCGACATGGCGTGTCGAAATATTAATATGTTTGTGGCTCAACTGTACACACGGCATTGTCTCAACGCTTGTGGGCGTAAGAAGCACATTTGTCACTAACAATGGACGTTTATACACTCCGCGTGGGTAAAGATCGATAATTTGCTTTATCTGTGTGATTTTTGACGTTTTGTTTTTAGAATCTGTAGTCATTTCGCGGGTTTTATTAACGTTTCGGCTGTACATTAATAATGGAATATGCGGCCATTAAAAATCCTTTTTATATCTACGTGGAACACTCAATCAAACACTGATATATGAAATACTACACTTCATATTTATCGGATTATTAATCTAGACAAGCATTTTCCGATATACTAAAATAAACATTGTTATCGCCATAATACTCGGAATTTATAAGGGTCACACAAATCAATTCTTAATCGTTCTATTACACAGTACTTACTGAAACGTGAACGAAAGATCGAATAATTCACATAAAATTTTGTTATTTCTTCGACTCTAGGGATCCAGTTCGAGTTGAGCTACGCCATTAAATGTGTGCGTGAGTGAGATGGTAATGTAATGGTTGTCCTGCTCGCGTATCGGCGCTGAATGTAAATGGCTTCATTTGATTATGTTTCACACAACTTCTGTGCATTTATGCAACCTTAGTACCAACGACGAGAGACTGTTACGTGATTTTTAGTAATTGCAATGGACAAAGAATAAATAAAGTTTATATTGATTTAATGACTGTTTTGATTTAATTCAATCTGAGTTGTTTTCAAAAGATTTGACTTTGGCACGTTCTTGAGAATAAAAAAAACACAGTAAATAATCACTGCACTAATTTACATGTTCAACAATATTTGCCTTAAATATCCATTATCGTAAAAGTTAACAACGCTCCGTAAGGATTTTATACAAAGCCAGAACGTTTTACGGGCAATAGTAGTCCCATTCTGTAAACTTTCGCACATTTACACTTTACTATTAGCACGAAAACCTTGTCTGATATGGAGCTCACGTTTTAAGCGCTAGCACGAAAACTATTAAGCCTACAAAGTTATGAAACACTAAATAAATAACAACTCGCAAACCGTTCACAAATAAGACATATTAATTTAAAAGTTTCTTCGTTGGATATAACTCGAAATACAGGATAATAAAAAACGGATTACGTAAATTCATTCCAAACGAACGGACTATTATCTATTGTAAATTAGGGAATTATTGAAACAATTATCTACATCATTCCAATGCAAATTATATTTGTAATTGTGACAGCTAAACAAGATATATCGATAATGACAGAACCACAAACATGTCTGTGCCATAATTGAATTGTATTAAAGCTTTAAATACATATTAATTAATTTGCATTCAATGAATTTAATTATAGACAACGTTGCCGTAATAACGACCTACTGATGTGCACAGAACATCAGAAGCGTATAATAATTTTAAATCATAACTCATTTGGTGTAGGTAATTTTTGACACAGATAGGTAATTCGTTATTAAACAATATATTTTGAATGTTCTGTGCTCGAAAAACAGTGTGTGTATAAATATCATTCGAGTTAGTGAAAGCCGACACACCCCAACTAATTAAGCGGCTACAATTGGATTTGATGCGCAACTGTTTTAATACAGTTATTTCACCCTCGCGCTGCCGAAATAAACAGATTTTTCCCTATTTTTCTCTACAGTTTTTATGTTTCTATGGTAATTCTTTTATGTCAGGTCGGGAGTGTTTTTAAACGATACTATTGGATTGGAACGTTATTGATTATAAAGACTTCGTCTGCATATAAATATGTAAGCTATATATCAGATAACCTTAATATTTTCTTTTCACAATTGCTTCAATTATTTCCAAACGATATACAGTATGCATGAGCAATAAAAATTCAATTTTAATTTAATCCGAGGTAACCCTTCAAAAACACGCGTCACAATGAAACTTCACGCACCGACTGGTTCTTCAATCAGATAAAATTAATCTACCATCGTTTATATTTCGTTATTAAACGAGTTATTGTTACAATCAATTTATGTGAAATTACAACTTCATTCTGTTTTGGTTCACACAGCGGTGTTCCTTTTTTACCGTCTAGTCAAACATAGCCAACAGCTTTTACATTATTTTATGTCGTATTTTAATTGATTCATTTGGAATTTTGCAAAGCCGAGGAAATGTCCGTAATAATTACGGTGCGCTAATTAACTAGCATTCAGCGTAAACATTGGAAACGAAATTGAACTGTTTCCTCGTAAAACAATCGCCCTCAACGGAGTCTCGAACAATATTAATTAAAAATAAAACCTCTTTCCATCTCTTGGCAACCTGGTAATTAAAAGAGAAATTATGTTTTTTATTACAGTGGAATTTAATCTTTATTTTGACTTAATTTGAATAAAAGCCGGTTTATAATTTTTTTATTCATTCAAGTTTATTGAAATAAATAATGACAGTAATAATTTTTTACTAGTTTATATAATAAAGAAGTACCCTAAGGCGGAAGTGTTAATTTGTTTAAATCAACGTAAACGTCAATAAAGAACGTCATTTGTTTGGTTGACGTGATAATAAATATAAACGAGATTTTGGCATTTGCTTATTCGATTTTTAACATTCCTCTCTCCTCTATATAGTTCTCCAAAGAATTTATCTATGGCGCGGTATGTAGTAATTTAGTCTGTGCACTATGGTGCAGTATGTCAAGCTTCCGTTATTCTCGCTCAAAATGCACTTAAAGCTTGCAAAGCTAAAAATAAAGTATCGTTATTTTTTACAGGCGAATATCACCACTACTACAACATTTTGTTTTAAAAGCGTTTATATAAAAATAGTTAAAGTAATGAATTTATATAAGTAAGATAATTTGCTAACACAATTCAAATTTAAAATTTGCTATTTATTTATTATTTTTTATTAACGTTTTACAAGTTATTGTAATTTTTCTTTATCCACTTTTAACAATAATACGTAATAAATAGCGCAGTATGCGTCAAAAAAGATTCCAGTAAAAAAGCACTGAAATAAAGCCACGATGGATAAATCGAAAACGACAAAATAGACAAAAGCGACGAACAATTTGTATACCGTGATATCAAACAATACAAAACAATCTCTTTTAATTATCTTCTTTGAAAGAGAAACTACAAAGCATTTTCTATATTCCGCCAGCGCGAGGGCTCAATATTAAAAATATTTGCTTGAAAGTGCTCGATTGCGTTTCTTGTTCTTGAAATTCACAAGAAAGAAGAAATGTAAAAAATTCCATTCAAAAAATTGATTGGTTTGACTGACTTAGTGTGATAAATTGTTACTAGGATGACATAGGTGAAGGTAAGTTCTTTGTGTTATAATGAAATAAAGATAATAGTTTTGTTTAAATTTATGCGAATAACAATCTGTCAACAGTTGTTTATTAAACAATAGATTAAACAAACACAAAAATCATTCGAATAGGAATTTACTAAATGTTTTATAAACGAAATAACAAATTGTATAATTTGAATAATACATAAGCGTAAAATCTATTTGCCAGCGGAATCTGTTATCTCGTTTCGTAATAACCTCTGTCGACATAATTGATTGTTCTACACCTACACACAAACATATTTTGTGGGATAAATTAATTTTGATATAATAACGAGTATTTGATTGACAGGTATATTGAGTCGGTAAATTTATCACGGTTTCATGAGATTGAACGACTATTATTTTTTAATAGACCAGGGGGCAAACGGGCAGGAGGCTTTTAACTGGAACCTTTCAATGCCAGAGGGCTCGCGAATGCGTTGGCGGCCTTTTAAGAATTGGTACGATCTTTTCTTGACGGACCCTAAGTCGAATTGGCTCGGAAATACTACAGTAAGTCTGATGATGAATCAGCTGCAAGTTTTTAGAACAACTCCTTTTAATACTCCGTGGTAAATGCGATAGAAGAGTTTAGTATTAAAATGACTCTTATCTTTGTTGAATGTCTACATAAGTGCATCTGTCTGCCATTAACTGTCCCAGACGTAAGAGATAGGAACTGAAATTCCCACATTAAACATTTAATGATCGCTAAAAAACTTCGAGATAAAAATCCTACGGCTATAAGGGGAGAGAACATGCAGTTTGTAAGTTTCAACAACCCTTCGTGTGAGTGGCAACCCTCGTTAGATGGCATCCCTGACCTGACAATGTTATTTATACTCCGGACAAACGCTTTACAAGCACAATATCGAAACTCGATTTTTATCGCTTCAGGG